AAAAAACTGTGGATTCCTCCTTTCACCACGTCGCCTTCTAACCCTGGCACGACGATCGTGCATGCCTAAACAAAATGTAGACTCGTCATCAAAGACAATACTGTTCCATTTCTGATCCCAGAGTGACCGTTGTCTGCACCACTCGGTAAACACTTCGCATGCCAATAGGTCTTCCGTGTTCTGCAAACCATTCATTTGCAATGTACCTGGTAGTGGAGAAACGGTCCCTTAAGGCCAATAATCTTAGGCGGCGATCTTCACGGTGTGTTGTTCTACGGCGGCATCCAGTGCCCCTTGCTCTTTGCGTACGGCCTTCTCGAAGCCATGCCTGACAACACCTAACCACAGTGTCTACACTTCTTTGCACTCTAACTGCAATTGCCCGAAAAGAAAGTCCAGCTTCCCGAAGTCCCACTATACGGCCCCTATCAAACTCACTAAGTTGACGAAATCGTACAGGTCTCCGTACTCTAGGCATCGTAACCGATCGTAAAGGATGTCAAGAACCAAAATCCGCCAACGTTGATTCTTTACTGCGGCTGAAATATTCATTTTTAGAGCGTTAGTGAATTAAAAAAAAGCAGTATAAAAACCGGAATGTCCAACTGATAAGGCTGAAAATTATTTCACTTGTTATTTACAGTTAGATAAATAAATGCACCAACTTTTATTAAAATAAAACCATTTAAACTGGGTGTTCGGATTTATATGTCACTTAGTATATTCGGAAATGTTTAAAGAAAACTTTGTCGGCATCTAACGGACAAATGAATTACTTTTACATAGAGGTCAATCATCTCCCAACGACTTATTTTGCGTCTAAAAATACGCGGGACTTCTATGACCACGGAATATTGGGACACCCTGTATATGCATGCAACAGGTAAAATAAAATGAAATAGAAAAATATCCACAATGCTGTAAATAAGAATGGGAAAAGGAGATTCTAGGATGGTTTTGGAGGAATTTTAATAGCAACCAGTATGCTCATCGTACAGGGTGTCCCATTTTCGATGATACAACTGGTATCGCACTTACTAGTACAGATAGAGAGTTGCCGTTTTCGCAATACTGTGCTACTGTTTTGGGAAAAGAAAGTTGGCATAAACAAAATTTTCATAGCCCGCTTCGTTTCTGAGATACAGAGCGAAATTGGAAACATTTGGGACCCCCTCGTATCTACGTTATCCTTTAACATAACGCAAAGCTAAAAACTGGTTCTTGTACAATTTTTCACGTAAAATCCAGTGGCTTAGTCAGATTTTTTCTATGAGATGAGGATTTTCAACTATAAATCAAACTTAGTTTTTTATCTCGTTTGAATGAAAATTTTATAAGCCTTACAAAAATATATAACGTATTCAACGTAAAAAAACTGTGTACGGGCCAGTTTTTAACTCTGCTCTGCTTAAAGGATAACTGAAATACGAGGTGATTCCCAAAAAGCTCAATTTCGCCTTTATCACAGAAACGAGGGGGATATGAAAATTGTATTCATACCCTGGTCTTTTCACAAAAAAGTTGCCAAAACCGCAACTCTCTATCTTCATTCGTAAGCGAGATACCCCGTGATATCATCGAAAATGGGGCACCCTGTACAGGTTGTAATAAAGAAGTTCTTATTTTACCGATCTTAATCTTGTATCTATCGACTCCGTCTTTTTCGGTTCGGCAACACAGCCCCGTGTAAAGAGATAAATAAGTCTATCTCTTATCCTATTATGGTAAGAGTCTCATTATTTTAGTTGCAGTTTATCGCGCAATCGTGATGCCACTTAGGCGATTTTTCTGTACAAATTACAAGCGCCTACCGATCGCGATATCGCATAGAATGGATGGGTATGTATCGCAAGAAGTGCTGCTATCCTGACACCTGCAGCTCTGCCTTTGAACGTGTCGATGCATTTAACAAGAATCCGAAGAACGAGGAACGACTGAAATGGAAAGTGGTCCGTGAGAAGGTAGCGAAAAATTATGTGCATTCCGCTTGGAATAAAATATTGCAATCATCCTGTATTTTTGTAGCGTTGATTCGAATTTTTATCAACGGGTGCCTCACGAGTACGGTTTCTATTCGAGATTTCTCTAAACGGGAATTTCTGGAAAATCAGTTTTCCAAAATGGTTTTAATCTATTCTGTTGTATGTATTAGTTATTAACATGGCTAATAAGTTCAAATAATGTATTTTTTGCTGCATTTATTTTTTATAATGCGATTATTCTAAGTTTGCTTGCTAACTTGTCTAATTAAAAAAATAAGTCCTTTTTGAAAAGCGCTGTATGTAATATCATACACCTTCACCATTTTTTGAAACACGTATATAAGAAAGTTAGCACATTCACCATTATTGTTACTACATTATGGAAAACAAAGAAAAATCGCAGGATATATTTTTAAATTTCAAGACCCATTTGCAACAGTTGTTCGTAAATAATCCTTGAACAATAAATTTACGATTTCAGGATGTCGAATATGAAAAACTAGATAATGAAATATTATTTAAATGTAGCGAAAGAGTCTGTTTATATACTAAGTGACATATAAATCCGAACACCCAGTTTAAATGGTTTTATTTTAATAAAATTTTGTATAAGTACTTAATGAAGCATAATGATAAAAATTTCAAAATGATTGCACTGCTTTAAAGCCCTTTGACCTTTATTAATGTGTGGATGCACCCTGATGTGCTACGCATTCTCCAACGCGCCTAGGCATGCTTCTGATCAGGAGGTCAATGTCCTCCTGTGGTATCTCATTCCAGGCAACCACCAACTTCTCTCGAAGTGCTTCTAGAGTCTGAGGAGGACGTTGCAAATTGAGCAATCTCCTACCCATCATATCCCACACGTGCTCAATTGGGGATAAGTCGGGAGATCTTGGTGGCCATGGTAACAATGTGACATCATTATGTTGAAAGAAGTCTATTGTGACTCTTGCAACATGTGGTCGGGCATTATCTTGTTGGAAAGTTGGATCTGCCAGGGTGTCAAGATAGGGTAAAAGATGGGGTTCTAGAACTTCGTGGATATAACGCTGCGCGTTCATGTTACCTCTGATGAAGATTAAAGGTGACCTGGAACCATAAGCTATAGCACCCCAAACCATAACTCCAACAGTGTGATGAACATGTCTTTCAACAAAAACCTGTGGATTCCTCCTTTCACCACGTCGCCTTCTAACCCTGGCACGACCATCGTGCATGCCTAAACAAAATCGAGACTCGTCACTAAAGACAATACTGTTCCATTCCTGATCCCAGAGTGACCGTTGTCTGCACCACTCAAGGCGATTACGTCGGTGTTCTCGAGTTAAAGGGATGACCCAGTGTGGCCGGTATGAAAACAAGCCAAAACTTCTCATTCGTCGGTAAACACTTCGCATGCCAATAGTTCTTCCGTGTTCTGCAAACCATTCATTTGCAATGGACCTGGTAGTGGAGAAACGGTCCTTTAAGGCCAATAATCTTAGGCGGCGATCTTCACGGTCTGTTGTTCTACGGCGGCGTCCAGTGCCCCTTGCTCTTTGCGTACGGCCTTCTAGAAGCCATGCCTGACAACAGCTAACCACAGTGTCTACACTTCTTTGCACTCTAACTGCAATTGCCCGAAAAGAAAGTCCAGCTTCCCGAAGTCGCACTATACGGCCCCTATCAAACTCACTAAGTTGACGAAATCGTACAGGTCTCCGTACTCTAGGCATCGTAACCGATCGTAAAGGATGTCAAGAACCAAAATCCGCCAACGTTGATTCTTTACTGCGGCTGAAATATTCATTTTTAGAGCGTTAGTGAATTAAAAAAAAGCAGTATAAAAACCGGAATGTCCAACTGATAAGGCTGAAAATTATTTCACTTGTTATTTACAGTAAGATAAATACATTCACCAACTTTTATTAAAATAAAACCATTTAAACTGGGTGTTCGGATTTATATGTCACTTAGTATACGTCTGATTCGTTTTCGATGCGCCACCCTGCATAATGATCTGCCTGTTACATTCCAAAACTATACATTATTTAATTTTAAAAAGAGGCTTAAACTAAAACTACAAGTCGAGGTCTGATGATAATACAAAATGCTCGAAATATGGACGATTCTTGTATTTGTTCTGTTTTTTTTATGTTTAGTGATTATTGAGAATTATGGATACATTTTTATTGGTGGAATTTTTTTTTCTAGCGCTATATTATTTATGTTAATATTTAGATTATTGCTAACTATCTTATTTTTTTTGTTTAAATATAATGTATTTTGTTTTTTCAATGTTAATTTTTAATCTATTCGAAAACAGACATTTGAGATAACTATTCAGGTCATCATTAATAAGATTCGTTAAAGCAATTTCGTCTGTTCCAGTATATACCAGTACAGTGTCATCTGCAAAGGTAAAATATCTTCCCCTCAGATTGGCCAACTTGAGATTCAGTACATAAAGACTGTATAACAGAGGTCCAAGAACTGACCCCTGTGGTACTCCATAGGTGCTAGATAACCATTCACTATCAATGTCTCCAAGCTTTATGTACTGTTTTCTGTCATATAAATAAGACTTAATCAAGCTGTACGAAACACCTCTAAATTCCATTTTAAACAATTTATCTAAAAGAATGTCTACGCTTACTACGTCAAAAGCTTTTTTTAGGTCAATGAAAACAGCTACAACTATTTGTTGTTTATCTAGAGCCATTGAAATGTAGTCCACAAAATCAACAACCGCACTAAGTGTGCTACTGTTCGTTATAAAACCATTTCATCCCTTAATATCAAAAACCTTTGCATAAACCAGTCAAATCCATGAATCATAGCTCATTTATTTTTTTTTTAATTTACAGATTGATTTATTTAAAAAAAGTGGAATTGAAAGAATTTCTAAAAATGTTCACTAACTAAAAAATTTACATCAAAAATGTTTGCTTTGCATTGGACCGCTTGATCGTCCTCCGCATTCCCGTCACGCCACTGGCATAAATGACAACCGACCGAATCGGGGACACGGAGCCGCGATAACCTACCTCCAATCCGCAGGGTCGCTGAGGTCGGTCGCCGCTAATATTTTGGTACCCGACACCAAGTGACCTTATTATGATCCATAATATCCAAGCGAACCTCCGATGGAATCCGCGCTATGCTTCTCAAGCATTATCGATACAGCAATTGCCTAGCGAAGAGGGGTTGTTAGCTCCCTGACGCTGCATTCCTATGCACGGATAAAGGGGGTGAGAATCACAACCGGTGCCAACAAAACGTTATACATTTCGTATTTCGTAACTTTGCGGAAATGATGCCGTAAGAGAATTGTTTATCGGAATTTTGAATATAGAAAGTGTTTTGGAAAAAGTAGGAACTAGTGTAACATATAGGTGAGTATACGCGTGATTTAATTATGAGCTTGTGATTTTAATCGGTTAATCAATAAACAGGGTTGCTCGCAAGAGCTTTGGATCTCAGTACGAAGCTTTGTAATAAGATTTGTTTATACTATGCCAGAGATGCTTTAATTGTGAATTAGTATGCCACACTAGTATCTTTAATTAATCGTTCCTGCACAACCCAACATTTGAAATAGACGAAATTGCACAAAAGCGGGCGCTGATTTTATTTTTGCTTTGAAAAAGTTTGACAAATAGCTGAAACTGTGTTTTGAAAGCGTTCAACGTTTACTCTTTAACGAACTTGATGCACCCGCGAAGCTTCGGTAGCTTTTTGAAGCTCCTCACCGCAAATTAAAATAATATCGACAACTCTGACTTCAATCTGCCATTTCTGTTCGTTTTCTTTGTTTTTGTTTACCAACGCAAAGCAAAAGCAAAAAGCAGCTCCGACAAGGGATATTGTGAAAAGTATGAGCGCCCAAAACTTTTCAACTTTTCACTGGGGCGGCCAAACATTAAAGATTCCACCAGAAGTTTTATGATTGAAAAGAATGTGCTTTCTCGTAATGATTCCATGTTATACTAACTTATTCCTGATCTCTTGAGGAAAATATACTAAGTGACATATAAATCCGAACACCCAGTTTAAATAGTTTTGTTTTAATAAAATTTTGTATAAGTACTTAATGAAGCATAATAAGTAAATGATAAAAATTTCAAAATGATTGCACTGGTTTAAAGCCCTTTGACCTTTAATAATGTGTGGATGCACCCTGATGTGCTACGCATTCTCCAACGCGCCTAGGCATGCTTCTGATCAGGTGGTCAATGTCCTCCTGTGGTATCTCATTCCAGGCAACCACCAACTCCTCTCGAAGTGCTTCTAGAGTCTGAGGAGGACGTTGCAAATTGAGCAATCTCCTACCCATCATATCCCACACGTGCTCAATTGGGGATAAGTCGGGAAATCTTGGTGGCCATGGTAACAATGTGACATCATTATGTTGAAAGAAGTCTATTGTGACTCTTGCAACATGTGGTCGGGCATTATCTTGTTGGAAAGTTGGATCTGCCAGGGTGTTAAGATAGGGTAAAAGATGGGGTTCTAGAACTTCGTGGATATAACGCTGCGCGTTCATGTTACCTCTGATGAAGATTAAAGGTGACCTGGAACCATAAGCTATAGCACCCCAAACCATAACTCCAACAGTGTGATGAACATGTCTTTCAACAAAAAACTGTGGACTCCTCCTTCCACCACGTCGCCTTCTAACCCTGGCACGACCATCGTGCATGCCTAAACAAAATCGAGACTCGTCACTAAAGACAATACTGTTCCAGTCCTGATCCCAGAGTGACCGTTGTCTGCACCACTCAAGGCGATTACGTCGGTGTTCTCGAGTTAACGGGAGGACCCAGTGTGGCCGATGTGAAAACAAGCCAAAACTTCGCATGCCAATAGGTCTTCCGTGTTCTGCAAATCATTCATTTGCAATGGACCTGGTAGTGGAGAAACGGTCCCTTAAGGCCAATAATCTTAGGCGGCGATCTTCACGGTCTGTTGTTCTACGGCGGCGTCCAGTGCCCCTTGCTCTTTGCGTACGGCCATGCCTGATAACACCTAACCGCAGTGTCTACACTTCTTTGCACTCTAACTGCAATTGCCCGAAAAGAAAGTCCAGCTTCCCGAAGTCCCACTATACGGCCCCTATCAAACTCACTAAGTTGACGAAATCGTACAGGTCTCCGTACTCTAGACAGCGTAACCGATCGTAAAGGATGTCAAGAACCAAAATCCGCCAACGTTGATTCTTTACTGCGGCTGGAATATTCATTTTTAGAGCGTTAGTGAATTAAACTAAAATTAATGTCCAACTGATAAGGCTGAAAATTTTTTCACTTGTTATTTACAGTAAGATAAATACATTCACCAACTTTTATTAAAACCATTTAAACTGGGTGTTCGGATTTATATGTCACTTAGTATATCTTTGAAATAATTTGCTCAATATATATTTTTTAAATCTTTGTTAGAATCTGTCACAGTGACAGTGCAGGAAATCCCACCAGACCCAACGTACGCAATTTTTGACAGCGTTACGTCTCTGGTAGCACTCGGTGACAACGTTGTATAATTCTAATTACAGAGACAGAAAGATCCTTTTCAGCTATCAAAATGTTATATTTTATAACTACGTGTCCAATATCCGATACTTTTCTCCACATGAGCTCCTCACTCTGTACACGGCACAATTAAGACCTAGCCTACTGCTACTTCGCATATCCAGAACTGGCCGATACGACCGCTCCTTTGTTCCCAGCGTATCGAGATTACGGGACGATCTGCATCAGGAGGCGTTTCCCCGTTCTGCTAACATTCAGTGGAAAAAAATATCTTTCTAGAGTATTGCCAACAGTTCAGCGAGATGATCATCAATCCAAACGTAGCTAAAGAAAGGAAAACTCTCGAGGAAAGGGTTACGCGCGAAGGCATGGAATTGTACAAGAAACAAAAAGAATACGAAAGAAGTCGGAAAATACAAGAGCAGAAGGAGGTCAGTTCGTTTATTTGCGAGATGTCACATTTTGGATAAATATATTTTTGCAGATGAAAGAAATGTTAGAAAAGTATTGGCCGTGGGGTAAATGCGGTGAAAGCAAACCAAGAGGTTTAAGAAACTTAAGAATGGAAGAACTATTTCCAAACCAAGATTATATTAATGTGAGTATTTCATCGTGATTTTTAATCTTAAAGTGATATACAGGGTGTTTCAGTTTATTGTTGCATAACTTTAAGATTCGATAGAACTTTTAAAATTTATGCATAAAGTCTATATAAACATGGGTCGAAAAAGGCGTGGCTTCCGAAATACAGGGTGTTTAAATTTACTTTCTAAAATAGTTTTTTTATAAATATTTTGAACAATATTTGATGTATAACAGTGAAAATTGGTTTACAAGGGCAATTTTTTGCTTTTTGAATAAAAAAACCGACCACAAGTGTTAGGAGAGTTTCTGGTACCTTGGGAATTTCAGCAAGCCATGTTCACCGTGTTCTTAGAAATGACCATAGACGTCCTTACCATTAGCAACCTGTGCAAGGACTACAGCCAGGGGATGGAGAACGAAGAATCACATTTTGTCAGTGGATTCTTGATAGAACTGATAATAATAGGGAGTTTTTAAGTAACGTTTTATGGACCGATGAGTCATGCTTCACTAGACGTGGAGTGGTAAATTTTCATAATCAACATATTTGGTCGCATGAAAATCCGCATGCAGTTCGGGAAAGAAATTTTCAGCATGAATTTAGTGTGAACGTGTGGATTAGTATCTACCGTAATCGACTATTTGGACCCTACCTTTTGCCTGCAAGGTTAAATGCTCCGACCTTCTTGGAATTTTTAAAGGCTGCACGTGCAAATATGTGGGATGATGTTATGTTAGATTTAAGAAGATTGGCCTGGTTCCAGCTTGATGGTTGTCCAGCTCATTATTCGAGAATAGTTAGAAACTGGCTGGACGAAAATTGTCCAGAAAGATGGATCGGCCGTGGAGGACCAGTCGCCTGGCCTCCACGATCCCCTGATCTAAATACATTAGATTTCTTTGTGTGGGGATTTCTAAAAGAAAAAGTGTACCAGACTCCCGTAACCACAAGAGATATACTAATAGACAGAATCAGGAATGCATGTGATGAAATAAGGCCTTATTTGAATAATGCTATACCACGTTCGATCATTCGTAGATGTGAATTGTGAATTGGGTTTACATTTCGAGCAACTACTTTAGATTTTGTATGTTTGTCCTAACTATCCAATAGCATTTTAGTGGTAAATAATTAATTTAATTTGTTAAAAATAGTATTGGAAAATTAAACAGATTAATATTCTGTTTCTTGTGTTTATTTGGAGTTAGGAATTATTGCTGTGTTTAAAAACACAATCTAAACGATCATCTTAATTACTTGTAATGCCCAAATCGAAAATGTAAAAAAAAATATTATTTTCCCATAAATAATTAAAAATGCGTCGAACCTTAAAAATCGAAATATCTCAAAAACGGCTAACTATAACGAAAACTCACAGGAGAGCTTTTTTATGTTGAAAAGTGCAAAGAATCATTTTTTTTTATTCAAAAAGCAAAAAATTGCACTAAGAAAAAATTTTCGGTTATTTTAATACACTACAGGTACAGTAGAGAACGCCCTCTAGCGGCTACGGTAAAACTATGCCCATGGTTCGTTTTGTCGTACCAAAAAAACCCTTGTATACCAATTTTCACTGGTATACATCGAATATTGTTCGAAGTATTTAAAAAAAACTATTTTAGAAAGTAAATTTAAACACCCTGTATTACGGAAGCCACGCATTTTTCGACCCATGTTTATATAGACTTTATGCATTAATTTTAAAAGTTCTATCGAATCTTAAAGTTATGCAACAATAAACTGAAACAACCTGTATACAAGAGCGGTCCGATAAGTACCGCCCGATGGCGCCACTATCGCAAGAGAAATCTACTATCGTAGACGGCAATAGCCGTTTCAGCTGAAATTTTGACTATTGTCAAAATTTGACTATTGTCAAAATTTCAGCTGAATCGGACTCGTAGTTTTGTTTGGGCCATATGTGGAAGCGGGAGTGTCCGCGGATTTTAGAAAAAAATAATTATTGAACCGATTTGACTCTGAATTGAGAAAAATCGGACAGCTCTACATACTGACCTTTGATCGCAATGCATAGAAATGCTTGTAATCTTAATTTGTTCAAAGCACTGCCTCTACACCTGCTTCTGCAAAGCTGGCATTTTCGTGGGTCACTCCAGTTTTAATCAGATATAAATTTATTGAAATGAATCTCAAAATATAAACAGAATTAGTCTCGCTATTTAAACGATAATGTTTCCCGGTGTTATTTGGCTTCATAAAGGAAAACAATAATTGTAGAAACGTTCCAAAAACTGACCGTCTGAGATTTGGGTAGCACTAAAATGTTATTGCAAAATAAAGGTTAATCATCTAGATTTATAAAGATTTAGCAACAAAGTTAATAAATCCAGTAATTCTGTCCGATTTCATGTTGTGCGGTGTTATGCGACCGGCGTTTGGGGGGAAATCGAATCGTCGACTTTCGTTCTGATCCCACCTTAAGTTCTCTAAACTCATTTTTGATACACTGCTCTACAAATAATTTCAAAAAAGGATTGAAGCATTTTATCTCTGATTTTATCACTCAGTAAGTAGACCAAGGCTATGAATAGACTCCATACAGGTTTTTTGTTGCTTGTTGCTTTCATTGGGATTAGAAAATTCACATAAATATTTGTAGGGTCAAGTTGAAAAACGCTTTTTTAGCGGCACTTCACCTTTTTATACTTGGTATAAATAAATCCGGATTATTATTATTATAATAGTAAAAATGAATCTTTTGGCGTTTTTCTAGGCTCAACGTTTCGTAGGCACCGTCGACCTTGGACGAGGTGGTGGAGGTGCCCCAGTGATAGCTGGGGGTACAAGGGTGACCAAAACGAAAGTCGATCCTCTCTTGAGGTTTCAGTTTGGTAGCAAAGACCTGAGAAGATGCGTAGACAACACTTTGCGGTACAGAACAAACAGGGAACAACAGATGCAGTACAAGAAGGAACTGGGTATAAATATATAGAAATGGGGATATGGTGGTCCAAAATTCACTCAAAGATTGATCTCATAATTTAAGATAGTCCACAAAAATTAAAGAACAGCTATATGATATATGGGGTTGTCCAAAATGGGCGCATGAAAGTAAACTCATATTAAAAGAAGAAAGATTGATATTCAAATCAAGTTGGGTACTTTATTTTGAAGGTTCATTTATACCATTTATGTATGAAAAATAATATCGCTCAAATGTTCACCACGACTGGATTTACAGACGTCCACGCGATGGTCGAAATTTTCAATGACATTTTGCAACATGGTCGGTTCTATGGCATTTATCTCGGCAATGATGTTGTTTTTGCGTTCTTGGAGGGTGGCTGGTTTGTTGACGTAGACTTTGCTTTTCAAATATCCCCATAAAAAGAAGTCCAAGGGAGTCAAATCGCACGATCTTGGTGGCCATGGCACATTTCCTCTGCGCGAAATCGCGCGATCACCGAACAAGGACTGCAATCGATGGATATTAACGTTGGTTGTGTGGCATGTTGCACCGTCTTGTTGGAAATAAACATCGTCCATATCCATTCCTTCAAGTTGCGGCAAAAAATAGGCGCTCAGAATTGACGGTAACGGCGTCCCCGGCCGCATTTTCGAAAAAGTAAGGTCCGATAATGCCTTTTGACCACAATGCACACCACACAGTCACTTTTTGAGGATGCATCGGCTGCTCTTGATACTCACGGGGATTTTCGTTCGCCCAGATGCGGCAGTTTTGCTTGTTTACCGTCTCATTCAAAGTGAAATGCGCTTCGTCGCTGAACGTGATTTTTGATGAAAAATTGGCATCAATTTGGCGGCGTTCAAGGAGCCAATCTGAGAACGTTCGGCGCGAAAAATGGTCAGCCCGACGCAGCTCTTGCGTCAATTGGATCTTGTAGGCGTGTACATTCAAATCCTTGTGGAGAATGCGGAGCAAACTGGTTCTCGAAATGCCCAATTCTTGGGATCGACGCGTTGTTGATTGTTTCGGATCGTCTCTCACACTCTCCTTCACAACAGAAATATTTTCCGGTGTGCGAACGCTCCTTGGCCGGCCAGAGCCTGGCAGATTTGCCACAGAACCTGTTGCCTCGAATTTACGCACCAGACGACCGATGGTTGTTTCGTTTGGGCGGTCGTTGCGACCGAAATGTTCACGAAGCGCGCGAAACGTGTTTTTTATATTTGCACCATTTTTGTAGTGCTCTTGAATAACTTTAATGCGGTTTTCAATCGAATACGACTCCATAGCGATCAATGGTAAACATTCAACTAACAAAATGACATGTCGGTGACAGAAAACAAAGATGGCGTCTATGTCAAATTGACGTTTACTTTCCTGCGTCCCTATTGGACAACCCATTAGTTTCTGCAACATCATTAACAAACAAATTGATCAGAACTGGACCAATGTGGGAGTCTTGGGGTACACCTGAAAAGACATTGACGGGATCATATAATGACCCAGTGTGTCTGACACACTGTGTTCGTCCTGACAGGAGCTTCTGAACTAGGATAGTTGGCTGCTTGATACTTCCAAATTTTCTTATTTAGCCAAAAGTAGATCGTGATTTACTCTGTCGAAAGGTTTCGTATAATCCGTGTCCACAGAACCTGCTTGAATTGAATAACTGCATTTTTTATGTAGATTCTGCAACATCATTAACAAACATATTCAATAAAACTGGACCAAGGTGTGAGTCTTGGGGCACACCTGAAAATACATTGACGGGATTGGATAATGATCCTACTGACCGGTAGCTTCTAAACTTGGACAGTTGACTGCTTGATACTTCCAAATGTTCTTATTTAACCAGAAGAAGATCGAGACTTACGATGTGAAAAGCTTTCGTATAATCCGTGTAGATGGCGCCTACTTGAAGCTTGTTAACAAAAGCAGTGATTGAGAAATTCTCATAAACGTTTTTAGCAGTTGATAGTTTGAGGCTACTCTTGAATAGTGTCTTGCTTTTAGATCTGTTGGTGGAAGAGAAGAAACGGAAAGAATCCAAAGAGAAGACGCTCAGCAAACGTGGTGACGAAGAAGTAAGTGCATGCAAGTAGACATGTTTTGTTAATGCGAATGCCCGTCTTCTATTTTTTAACTCTGGCTTTTTTGATGGAAGTTTTTGAAGTATCATCCATGGGGAAAGCGGGGACCCGGCGGATTGCCATGGAGATACCCAACTCAAATCGGCTTCGGCTTTTTCAAATCTTTGGTACAAGTTTGCTATTTTGCTGTAAATACACTAGCTCACATGCACTCGTGCCAGCATTAGCTCAGCATTATCGAATTCACGTATTTTTGAAAAAACTTGTAGAGAAACCTTTTAGAGCCCTTCATGATTTCTGTTGTCGTCTTAAATACATATAGGATAATGTAACGCCTGAACCTTATCCTGTGGCTTTCACGCTAATAGAATTCCATGCGGGACTCTCTCCAAGACACACAGGGTGTTTCAGAATCAACTCACACCATTGGGATATCTCAAAACGGTAAGAGATGCGGTTGAATGAGTTGTGCACTCAGGTAACTAAGACAATGGCACATAGAAAGTTTCGCAATTCCGAGTATGTTCGGAGCTGAACGAAATAAACCGAATTTTCACAAAGTTGTTTTTGTTTTTTCCTGGCTTTATTTGAGATTTGATTTCAAAATGAAAATTACATTAACATTGCCACTTTTTTTGCTCTACAAGATGGCATAATTAGAATTTCAATATAGCCTTTCATCTCTCGTCCTCAATCATCAAGTTTATTTTTCCTTACAGACGCCATATTGTATTTTTGCACAGATAAATAGAATTTTTTATTCTGATTCCAAAAATATACTAAGTGACATATAAGTCCGAACACCCAGTTTAAATGGTTTTATTTTAATAAAAGTTGGTGAATGTATTTATCTTACTGTAAATAACAAGTGAAAAAATTTTCAGCTTTATCAGTTGGACATTCCGGTTTTTATACTGCTTTTTTTTAATTCACTAACGCTCTAAAAATGAATATTTCAGGCGCAGTAAAGAATCAACGTTGGCGGATTTTGGTTCTTGACATCCTTTACGATCGGTTACGATGCCTAGAGTACGGAGACCTGTACGATTTCGTCAACTTAGTGAGTTTGATAGGGGCCGTATAGTGGGACTTCGGGAAGCTGGACTTTCTTTTCGGGCAATTGCAGTTAGAGTGCAAAGAAGTGTAGACACTGTGGTTAGGTGTTGTCAGGCATGGCTTCGAGAAGGCCGTACGCAAAGAGCAAGGGGCACTGGACGCCGCCGTAGAACAACAGACCGTGAAGATCGCCGCCTAAGATTATTGGCCTTAAGGGACCGTTTCTCCACTACCAGGTCCATTGCAAATGAATGGTTTGCAGAACACGGAAGACCTATTGGCATGCGAAGTGATTACCGACGAATGAGAAGTTTTGGCTTGTTTTCATACCGGCCACACTGGGTCCTCCCTTTAACTCGAGAACACCGACGTAATCGCGTTGAGTGGTGCAGACAACGGTCACTCTGGGATCAGGAATGGAACAGTATTGTCTTTAGTGACGAGTCTCGATTTTATTTAGGCATGCACGATGGTCGTGCCAGGGTTAGAAGGCGACGTGGTGAAAGGAGGAATCCACAGTTTTTTGTTGAAAGACATGTTCATCACACTGTTGGAGTTATGGTTTGGGGTGCTATAGCTTATGGTTCCAGGTCACCTTTAATCTTCATCAGAGGTAACATGAACGCGCAGCGTTATATCCACGAAGTTCTAGAACCCCATCTTTTACCCTATCTTGACACCCTGGCAGATCCAACTTTCCAACAAGATAATGCCCGACCACAAACATGTTGCAAGAGTCACAATAGACTTCTTTCAACATAATGATGTCACATTGTTACCATGGCCACCAAGATCTCCCGACTTATCCCCAATTGAGCACGTGTGGGATATGATGGGTAGGAGATTGCTCAATTTGCAACGTCCTCCTCAGACTCTAGAAGCACTTCGAGAGGAGTTGGTGGTTGCCTGGAATGAGATACCACAGAAGGACATTGACCACCTGATCAGAAGCATGCCTAGGCGCGTTGGAGCATGCGTAGCACATCAGGGTGCATCCACACATTATTAAAGGTCAAAGGGCTTTAAAGCAGTGCAATCATTTTGAAATTTTTATCATTTACTTATTATGCTTCATTAAGTACTTATACAAAATTTTACTAAAATAAAACCATCTAAACTGGGTGTTCGGATTTATATGTCACTTAGTATATTTAAATGGATCCAGGTATTTAAAATCATGGCTTTCGAATACTTTTTCCTTTGGTATTCGAGACTTGAGATTTCGAATACAATTTGAAATATAGTATTCGGGATTCGTATTCGAATACCGGATTGCAGTACGTCTACAATATCACATCATTAAAATCGGAATTAGTTAATAAAAACTGAAGGAATGGTGGCTGATGATATTATGAAACAAATGACTTTCAAGGCCTGCTCAGGAAATTCTTTTTGACGAATTATACATTTTTGGAATCAAAATTAAAAACTCTATTAATTTGTGCAAAAATCCAATATGGCGACTATAAAAAAACAGTTGATGATTGAAGACAAGAGACGAAACGTCATATTAATATTCGATTTATTCCATCTTGTAGAGGAGAAAAAGTGATAATTTTAATGTACTTTTTGCTTTGAAATCCGATTTCAAATAAAGTCAGGATAAAATAAAAACGATTTTCATTAAATTCGGTTTCTTTCTCCGTAAATATTAGGAATTGTGTTACCCACACGTTTCCGATATTCCAATGGTTCGAGTAGAATTTGAAACAATACAATTCCACCTCTCGCGCCCCCATCTAAATTCGTTCAAGGGATACCTTTTCTTCCATAGAATGCAGCTTCTCTAGATACCTTAATTTGCTTCTTAGCTTCTAATATCGCACCTAACCCACCACTCAAGGCTTCCTTCCTATCTCAGGGCTGGTCAAACAACGAAACCCTGAAAAACGTCCACGACTCGAAGCCCGAAGAATCGAAGAAGAACCCGCACAGCCAATGCAAGATCAGCATTCCAGGAAAGCAGAGCAACTTTATCTTTTCGGGAGTGAAGAATAGCCGAAGACTCTCCTCCTTATCTGGTGATAAGGAAGATGAGGGAGTCGATCTGGTCACGTTGCTGGCCAAGGACAGGCAGCAAACCCATAAGGTTCCCTTGTGTAGTTCTGATGTTACTTCAATGGAGAAAATTGGGTATGGATACCTGTATTCTACAGCGTGACGCAAAAGTCCGGAAAGGCATCGTATTTTCTCCGAAGGGATTCAACGGTGACCTTGAATTTGATCTTGACCTTCAAATTCAAGGTCAATGTATGGTCAACTTTACTTTTCCATGTAGAAACCCCTATTGTTGATGCCAGAAATAAAAAAAAAATATGTTCAAACACAATTAAAGTCCAAGGTCAGGAGGTCTACTAAAGGTCAAATGAAGATCAAATGTGTGCTGCTAGGAAAATCTCTATAAATCTCTCAGGGTGAGAGAGTATCAAGGTTAGGTTTTTGGTGAATTTTTACGATGAAGTGAACGTTGACCTTGGACTTGACCTTTAACTTCACGTTCAAGATTATTTTAAAGAAAGCTTTATATTTCTTAATGGAAATCCTTAGTTTTAATGCCGGCAATCGAAAGGGTGGAATATTTTACGTTCAAATGCGAATGGAAGTCCAAGGTCAGGTTGCCGTTTGAAGGTCAAATGTGCGTTGCTAGGAAATTCTCTATAAATCTCACATTATTAGTAATGAAAACAATCAAGATCCGGTTTTTGGTAAATTTTAACGATAGAGTGGACGGTGATCTTTTATTTGACCTTGATCTTCACCTTTTAGGTCATTTCAAGGTCAACTTCATTTTAATGGAAATTCCTATTTTTGAAGCTGGCAATCGAAAGAGCGGCAATTTTTAAGTTCTAATACGAATTGAAGACTTTAGTCATGGTGACCACTGAAGGTCAAATGTAGGTCAAATGTGCGTTGCTAGGTAAACCACTATGAATCTCACCCGATTAGTGGTGAGAATAGATATCAAGGTCAGCTCTTCAGTAAATTTTGACGAGTGATCTTGGGTTTGACCTTGATCCTCACCTTTTAGGTCATTTCAAGGTCAACTTCATTTTAATGAAAATTCCTATTTTTGAAGCCGGCAATCGAAAGAGCGGTAATTTTTAAGTTCTAATACGAATTGAAGACTTTAGTCATGGTGACCACTGAAGGTCAAATGTAGGTCAAATGTGTGTTCCTAGGTAGACCACTATGAATCTTACAGGATTAGTGGTGAAAATAAATATCAAGGTCAGTTCTTCATTAAATTTTGACGAGTGATCTTGGGTTTGACCTTGATCCTCACCTTTTAGGTCATTTCAAGGTCAACTTCATTTTAATGAAAATTCCTATTTTTGAAGCCGGCAATCGAAAGAGCGGCAATTTTTAAGTTCAAATACGAAATGAGGACTTTAGTCATGGTGACCACTGAAGGTCCAATGTAGGTCAAATGTGTGTTGCTATGTAAACCACTATGAATATTACAGAATTAGTGGTGAAAATAAATATCAAGATCAGTTCTTCATTAAATTTTGACGATTGATCTTAGTTTTGACCTTGAACCCGACATTCAAAGTCATTTCAAGGTCAAATTCATTTTAATTGTAATTCCTATTTTTGATGTCGGCAGCCGAAAGAGCTGCAATTTCGATGTTCAAATACGAATTGAAGACTTTAGTCATGGTGTCCACTGAAGGTCAAATGTAGGTCAAATGGGCGTTGCTAGGTAAACCACTATGAATATTACAGAATTAGTGGTGTAAATAAATAACAAGGTCAGTTCTTCAGCAAATTTTGACGATTGATCTTAGTTTTGACCTTTAACCCGACATTCAAAGTCATTTCAAGGTCAAATTAATTTTAATTGTAATTCCTATTTTTGATGCCGGCAGCCGAAAGAGCGGCAATTTCTAAGTTCAAATACGAATTGAAGACCTTAGTCATGGTGTCCACTGAATGTCAAATGTAGGTCAAATGGGCGTTGCTAGGTAAACCACTATGAATCTTACAGAATTAGTGGTGAAAATAAATATCAAGGTCAGTTCTTCATTAAATTTTGATCAGTGATCTTGGATTTGACCTTGAACGCGACAGTCAAGGTCATTTCAAGGACTTTTCCAAATAGACACCGCAGAAACAGTATCGGTTAAAAATCATTTGTTACGGGCACCGTAATTCCCTTGTTAAAACTTACTCAAACTGAGCTTAATTTTTTTAATGGAAAATCCTATGTTTGATTCTGGCAATCAGGAGAGCGGGAAATTTTACATTACAAGATGACCGCTGGTTAATGTTAAATAAAGGCCAAATATAAGCTAAAATCTCGCAGAAATCGAGACGAAATGACGTCAGATCTTTGGATAAATTTTAACGAAGGAACTACGGTGCTGATTAAAAATGATATTTATCCAATACTTTTCTTGCGGGTTTTTATTAGAAAAAAAATGACTTTGAAATGACCTTGAAGGTGAAGTTCTCACCCTGATAGTTATTTTTATCTCTAATTCTGTCAGGTTTATACGAGTTGCTTTTTGAAAAAATAAAGTTGACTGTAAATTAACCTTGAAGGTGAATGTCAAGGTCAAATTCAAGGTCACCTTTGAATAAATACAATTCGAAATGAGGATACTGAAAGCATCTGTGCTGAATTGATTATATGATGTATGATTTCGTTTCAGGAAAACTGGAGTCTGGAATAAAACTAAAGAATCCGAGGTCTACTTGAGAGAGCTAGCTCAACAAATTATACAGAAGCAAAACACATACAAGGTATGATATTATTCACTATTTAGGATGAGACAGTTGAATTTCCATCGTTGGGACTTTTTCCAATTGGTTACAGTATATTCAGATAAGAGATAGACCGGACATAAACAAGACCACGTGATCATCGAACGCTGTAACATTCGGCAGGGACGTATTAAGAGTCACGCAGTACATATTTTAGATAGTAGATGCTGCTTTGCGTAACTTTGTAGTAAATTAGCACAATTCGATGTGTATACGATTGGTGATGGATATAGGATCATGTGGGGGTGGGGTAAGAAATATATAATGATGTAAAATTTTCGCTTCGATTTCCAGCTTCGGATGCCGCCTGATGTTTGGTGAAATACAGTCGAATATAATCTCAAAATGGCGTTTAAATTAGCCTAAATTAAAAATAATCGTATATCTCTTAAAATTGCTTTTAGAATATTGATTAGTATATTTTTTGATTTCTGGGTAAATATGTAACCAAATTAAAACGTTCAAAACGTAAAAAAATGTGCATGGTTGAACATTGTCAGAAAGTAGATTCTTGAATAGGTTTTGCCAAAATGGGTTCAAAAATGTCAATAATTAATTAAAAAATACAGTAGCTTTATAATTACTTATAACTTACCGAATTTGATGAACGACATCTTTTATTGGAAAGATGAGCTTTCATCATCGCTACTGCCTGAAGCACCAACGTCAATAATGAATGGCTCGACTTGTTCCTCTAAAATATTGTCCAGTTCCCACATTCTCTTTTCAACTTTGTCTTTCACGTGCTTAATACAGTTTTCCGATTTTTGCGCTGTTATTAATTCTAGTGCTTCTTTGAAAAGTCCTTTGAGGTCACAAAATTTAAAAGTTGTATTGTGCTTAGCTATATAATTTTTAACCTCTGCCCATATGAGCTCAATGGGATTGAGCTCGCAATGGTATGGAGGTAAACGGAGCACAGTTTTGAAATTTGGCAACGTTGTATCTCCATTTACCTCCTGCAGTACCTTATCTATAGTAGGTATTTCATTCCTAAAGAAGAATTCATGCACTTTCCTCCTAATCGCATGCTTATCAGCTTCATCCAATAGTTTAACAATACTTTTGCGATGTTTACTGGTCATTGGCTCAGAAAAGGTGTGATTTTTTTTGTATTGTCTTAACACATTAAACACTGATGCGCGACACACCCCAACTTTGTGAGAAACCTTCACAACAATTTCTTTGATGGTTGATGCCTCGTTCTCCTCGCGCTCGATCTTATATATATTCAAAATGACCTCTTTCATTTCTGCACTCAGGTGTCTTTTTTTAGAGCGTTTCCTAGGTGGACTACAGGAGTTTACAACTTCATCGGCAGTATCTGTACTACTGGGCTTTTTGCGCAAGCAGTTGATAACAATAACAATCAATAACAAGGTATAACAATAACAACGACAAACTCAACAACTTAATAAGATAACAAACGAAAACGTAAATATCAAATTGCAATGATGCACAGACATACGTAACACGTCTGAACCTGAATGTGACTATGCCTTGATACGACTGCTCTGCCGCTCGGCATAGGCATTTAATTGCGAATTGACCAATCAGGGCTCCTGTTTTACGTCGAGACGGCGGCGTTAGCGTGAAAATCACCCGAACCTTTTGTTTACATCCGGTCTATCTCTTATCTGAATATACTGTAGATTCTTATTGATCAGGTACGCTAGCATAGTCGCAATCTCGACAAATACCTATTTTCCATCTAGTAGAGCCAAATCGCCATAGTAGCTTTCTAATTAATGGCTAAAGAAATCATAAAATCGTGTTAGTATTTAACGTAATCTCATATCAATTTCGAGATATAACTCGAAAGGCGTTGACATTAGGACCATAGTTCGCGACGTTGGCAATAATTAATTGGGTGTGGATCTAGTAAAACTTGTTTGTAGCGTTTTGTTTTTCGTAAAAAAATGAATTTTTCTAACTAAAAGAGCTGATAGCAAGTACCAAATCAATCTGTAGCGTACAAAAAACAAAACGTCAGAATTATGTGTCCTGTGCCGATATGGGGAATTTTGAGATATTACTAGATAATCAGATATGATTCTACAGTGATGGATAGTCGTGAAATAGGGCGTAAGATGGTAACATTTATTTGTAGTGTTTCCATTCTGCTAGGCATTAAGTGTCATATATTCAGTTGTTCCAACGGTTGTATGGCCTCCTTGATTTTGATAGTGTTTTTGCTTCTTCAGAAAAGCTGGAGTATTTCTAGATTTCTACTGTTCCGTGTCAGCGTCAGCGCTCTCCTATTATGAGGCTATGTTTCCTTTTTGAATTGCCAGCAGTTTCAGACTGATATAACAGAAGCATGAACAATTTGATGCAAATACATATTTGTAACATAACCTCAAAATAGAACGCTGACATGGAACAGTAGAAAACCATGAAAATCAAAGAGGCCATAAAGGCATCCTGCAATAAATTGTAGAAATGACTGACGATACGACCCTAAACTTCTGAAGCTTCTAACTTTGTATTGATTCCGATCGAAAGTATGCGAAAAACCGTTATTTCCACTCAATGATGTTGCTAGGTGTTATCGCTTCACAATGTCATCTACCGAACACACCCATCATGGATGGAACCGAAAAAATGTTAACGTCCGCAAGCCCTTAGGCGAAAAGAAAGCCGAAGACTATACGAATTACAGAGCAAATACCTACCGACGGAGAAATTTCCTGATTTGACACGGTTTTTATGAATAATTCATTTTCCTTGAGGCCTTAAAATATGTCTAAATATATAATTCGGTTACTTAATAACTCTCCAGTTCTCGAGAGGAACTAAACGTTAATGAGGTAATCTATAAATTGTGTTACTCGAGCAGAATAAGTCGGCAACACATGGCAAGCTGGATGGAAAAATGTTGGGATTAGGAATAATTATGGATTCTTATTAATATAAATACATCATATTAGTTACATGACATGAATGGTCATTTGCCAGAATTCGCCATTTGTAACTGTACTTTATGTATGTATCTGTAAAATAGCATTCCTTTTCAAAACTGCTGCTTAAGCATACATAAACACTCTTCTAAGTTTCAATCGGCGATTTTCTCCGGTGAACACGATGACGCCAAAATGACGTCATTATTCGATCACTTTTGGTCGGAAATTCATTGAATGAAAAATGACGTTATTTTCAGTTCTTTATTAACCACTTCCATACACATTGTACAAATGCTCCTGAAAAATTGAGAAGTTGACGTGACGTCTCAGATCGAAAGAATTTGAGTTTCGGCGCCTTTCCACTGCTGAACTTAGTACTTGTGGGGCGTCGTTGTCACATCCTTAATTTTTCAGGAGCATTCGGATACACCGCGCGATTATTTCGTCGTATCGACGTCACTAGACGTCATGTCGACCTCAGTTAGACGTCATATCTACGTCATACATATGTCATATTGACTTAGTATTAGTTTACGACATACTTTGACGTCATATACTGACGTCATTTCTACGACATATTTGTTGGTCGGCATACGTCGGTTGTGCACTAAAAATGCCGACATTATGACGTCGGTATATTCACTGGGTCGCTTTCAGAAGTTTTGCAATATCTCCCTTTCTTCAATTTTCAGAGAACAACGCTATTTCCTCCTAATTTTTCTTCCCAAAATACTTATTTTTACTAATTGGATGTAGTTTTTCCAATAACAACAATCTGTGGACACACGCTGTGGCTCAAATCTTCAGGAGTAACTCAAAAATCTGCCTTAAGACTTAGTCAAAAAATTACCGTCAAGCTAGCTGTCAAGTTACTAGACATGCCATTCAAAACCCTACGTGATAAAACAGCGCGGAGCTCCACCAAAAAAATTACAAAATACGGCTTTCAGATCATTCAGATATTTATTTTAATAATTCAATCCGATTCTGATTGTATCGGTTCAGTTGCTGTTTTATACAAGGAAATATAAGGAAATACGGGCTTAAGCCCCAAAGACCCCTTTCTAAATACAATTATGTTGTATAAGTTATAAAAGTCTAGGCATCGGTGCTGATTACGATGTTTTAGTATGAAATTCAATCAATTGGAATTCAATTATTTCATTTTAAAAACAACTATTGTGATATTGCCTTTATGTTTTTTGGTACGGGTTGCTAATACTTTACCCCAAATTCGACACAGCCCTACCGTACTACATGATTTCTTAATCATTTTCAAATCAAATTACTTATCTAAAAATAAGATAACGGTTACTCGCAGACTGCTCATTTTCTACTTATCTGGTTCCACAACACTTTTGTACGGTCATATCCGAATTGGGCACCCCAAAATGCCAAGTGTATCAAGTCGTTCGCATTTCCGAATGGACAAAAATCCCAATGAAAGCGGCTTATGAGATGCCCCAAAAATCTTGGATTATTTCTGTTTATAAACGGCCACAAAATTTGAAAATGTTTCAATTCTCAGGTATAGATGGCGGTTACAATACTATTCCATATGAGTGCACGCACTTACCTTACATCCACCGATAGTCGGTACCACCTTGCTTAACTTAGTAAAGTATAGACAGTACTTTAGAAATTTATCGTATGAGTGCTAACACCTACTTTTACCCACCAGTTGTTGGTACTATCATCAAATGTCTTGTTAAAAGGATAAATTAGAATTTTGAGCCAATCTCGTTGCCCATTTTTTACAAAACTGAATTTAACCATACTCGAACTGAAAGCGAGTTTAAAAGGAAATCATTGAAAACCCGGTTGTCTCGTCTCCTAGCTCTCCGTCTCCGAGCTAGTCTTTGATACAGAGGCATGGGATATTAGATGCCACCTCAATTTCGGCTCGAAAACCCACTACCGTGCGCTTTTACGATGCAATTGTATTTCGATTCAGCGCTCGGAATTATAAAAATATATCAAGATTCGTTCACTTGTGGCAACGATGATGAGAAACAAACATTTTTACGGTAAAGCCGTAATATTTTTTGGAAAACCTTGTGTATCTGCTATTTGCAATGGTATTTGATTTATGATATCGATGTTGATATAGAAAAAAATACACATATATAATGTTCTTTCAGGAAATTAAGAAGAATGAAGCAGAGACTGCAATACGTCACTTTTCCACTTGGGAGAGCTTTTGGGGGCGACCTGGTCATGGAGCCCCTCTTCCCGAATGCAAGAAGCAAAGGTTGGATAGGTTGCTCTATCCAAAACTTCCACCCATAGGAGTACATTAGACTGAATATGTCATGTAAATATTTAATAAAATGCTTGTAATGGATGAGGCTATTTTTATTTTGAAACCTTTTAACTCCCCCAGAATCCGCCGCATAGCGATAGCGTGCAATCATTGTTGAATGAGGTACGTCCGAGAATTCCATCTCTAGTAACGATTCATTCAAAATATGTATTTTGATCAGGTCCTTAAATGCCTTCATCTATTTACATCATTGATAGTTGACAGCTGTCAGGTAGAGCTAGAAAGGTGGACGTGGGCAAAATAATAAATAATTACTAAAGTAATCCTGGAAATTAGGTAAATGCAGATCTATAAGCTCGGAAAACTTCTGATAAATAGCAGTATTAGTAATTCCATTAAGACAACAATATACCTGTACAGGTAAGTTATCCTAAAGTAAGACAACAAAACTGGTTCTGTTGATTTTTGTGTATTTTATTTGGCCACAAATATTTAATAAGCGAACTAAAGCTCTATATTAAGCATACATGTCTTAAAATTGCTGTATTTACTTATAATAATAATAATTTACAAGTTTTGGTAAATGCCAATACTGTTTCACACAGGAGTTCTTTGTTTATTGAAATAAGAAATATCAATGTTTAGTGAATAACCCAGTGGAAAATATTTTGTTAAAAGATTCATCAGGTGGCTAGACCAGTTTCTCAGGATATGATGATGTAATGGAGAGATCACTGTATTCTACACATTTTGCATTCAAATTGTGTAATCACTAAATTAATATCTATAAAACAGGCTATAAGACTAGTAATTTGCAGCAATTAAATGTGTAGAATTACAAACCAAATTATAAGCCAATAATGAAAACTTTTGCAGTAGTTGAAGAGTACTAGCAAAAATGATATTTGAAACTTCTCATAGAAGTTTCATGATTTTCTTGAATTTGACATTGCTCATAACACATTGTACTTTCAGTACTGTAAGTATAGCAAGAAAAACAGATTCCAAAATGGCTGCTACAGCAGGTGCTGTTTTGAAGCGTTATGATAACATAGTAAAGTCTGAGGAAGACAAAAGGTCTTACAGAGGCTTAGAGTTGAGTAATCATATGAAAGTTTTGCTTGTCAGCGATCCTACCACTGACAAGTCTGCAGCTGCTATGGATGTTGGTGTTGGTAAGAAAGAAAAATATTGCCACCTAAACTCTGTTTTTTTGACACTATATGATATATGAATTCTTGTTGCTTCTTAAGGGAAGGCGGTCTAGATAACTGTCAAATCTGGAGATGACTCATGTTTCTAAATCAGCTGTAGCCTACCAAAAACGGAATTTGAAGGTTAATCTTTTTAATAAAGTGAACAGCATTTAATTTTCAATCACTGGAAACCTTGGTTTTGGAACATGAGTTATGTGACTACCAACATGTCGCCACTTCAATTTCACTGTATGGGCACACATGTGTTATTAAACTTGTATAATCTTTTAGGGCTGCATGCCAAATGTTAATTGTTTTAGTTTAGTAACAATTCGAAATTTGTCTAACCTCATTTTTGTGAACACATTGTTTTACTATACAGCGTGACTTTGAAGTTGAGTCATTAATTTTCAGATAATGATTGTAGAAGGAAGATAAACCAAAATATGGTAAAAATAAAAAAAAATGTTTACCTTGTTTTATAAAGAATCCTCCCGACAAGTATTTCAGTGCGGACCTGTATTTGATCGTGAGGTCCCCTGTGAGGTCTTAAGTCACCTGCTTCACGAGCCCATGTACTACATTAACAAAGGCACGAGGGGTTGGTTGCACTCGATTGGGAAACCGATCCGCATAAACATGTGCCATTTTTTATTTCGTTTAAGCCACGCAACAGACACCACTATTCACACGCGTTACCGACTGACACTGACTGTATGTATACAACTGAATAAAATAATTGTAAAAACATCGTTCCAAATTCTTTCGCTTTTTTGTTTCCGATGCGGTGAACCGATAAGGCGGATTATATCCGTTGTTGCCGAACACGAGCACATGATATTATTATTGAGACAGGCGGTACTCAAACTTCCAAAGCGCTATAACTTTGTTACTTTAATTTTACCAGAAAAATGGTAAAGGAAAAAAACATTTCTTTTGATCAGATCTACTCACTGTTAAAATAAATGACTCAACTTCGAAGTCACCCTGTATAAATGAAGTTTTATAGATACATCTATTTTTTAAACATTCCAAATGACAGATCTCTTATTATTATTTTAGGATTTTCCTGTGACCCAAAAATAACTGCTACACCTAGCTCATTTTTTAACAAATTTTCCACCATAAACTTTCTAGATGAAATATACATTTTCAAATTTTTCCAAAAGATGTCAAGTTTTTGATTTGTATTTTAGGATTTTTCTGTGATCCAAAGGAACTGCCAGGCTTAGCTCATTTTTGCGAACATATGCTGTTTCTGGGCACCAAGAAATACCCAAACGAAAATGATTATAACAAATTTTTAAGCGAACATGGCGGTAGCTCAAATGCAGCAACTTACTCTGATCATACTATGTATCATTTTGATATAGTTCCTGAAAAATTATCAGATGCTCTGGACAGGTAGATTCTCAACAAACTTAGACCTTAATAATTACTAAATATGAATTGTTCTTCAGGTTTTCACAGTTTTTCATTGCTCCTCTCTTCACAGAGAATATGACAGGAAGGGAAATCAGTGCTGTGAATTCTGAACATGAAAAAAATATACCTAGTGACATTTGGAGGATTGATCAGTTGGATAAGCATTTATCCAATCCGGAACATCCGTACAATTCTTTTGGCACAGGTAAGAAAACATTTATTAATTCATCGAATTCAGTAACAAAATCTGCTTCTTTAGGTAACACGTACACTCTGCAGACTGTGCCAAAAGAAAAGAACATAAATGTCAGAGAAGAACTGTTAAAATTCCATAAAAAATGGTATTCTTCAAACATTATGTGTTTGGCAGTATTAGGAAAAGGTAGCACTACATGACAGTCCTGAAGGAGATACCATAAATGAATCTTATTCCATTCTTTTAGAAAGTCTTGATGAATTAGAAGACATGGTAGTGCAACTGTTCAGTAGTATAGAAGATAAAAATGTAGAAGTTCCTATAAATAAAGAGCACCCTTACACAGAAGATCAGTTCAAAACAGTATTGTACATAAGCCCTGTAAAAGATGTACGAAATTTGAACATTGTATTTCCATCTGCAGATCTTACACATGAGTACAAGTCAGCAGTAAGTATTTAGAAGAACACATTATTTTTTTTTTGTTTCTAGGTGTTTTTTTTATACAGGATGACGGGAAAATAGATGCGGAGCCGGTGGGGGGAAATAGTACAAGCCAAATTTGTGTCGATTTTACTATAGGAACTACTGTCTGAAAATTAGCCGTTTTCAAATTATACTAATTTTTAACATTTTATAAAAATAACGTCCTTTATACGTTAACCAAGTCATAAAACTTGAAAATTGGGTGTTTCATTTGATTTTTTTTTGGTTTTACAATACAAATATTCTAAAATACGAAAATTGATACTCAAATGTACATTATTGACGTTATCTCATGCAGTAAGCTTCAAAATAGTTCGATTTTTGTTAGAAAAATCTTCGTTCATCTCAAAAGCTTCAGTTTATTAGAAAAAGTCGCATACAAATTTTACGTACAAAATAATTAGAAAACATCTACGTTTCATTACCTTTCAAGTGAGGTATAAAAATCACACATCGATTAAGAATTGGTAAAAATATGACTATTATAAGAGAAGGAAGGAAAAAGCAATAAAAATACTACACTTACAAAATCGTGCCTTAATACAGGATAATTTGTTTGAAACTACATTTTTTTATTTTTATAATACATTTTCGATATGGCGCCCTCTATTTCTAATGCACACACGTGCTCTTCTTATGACAGCTGATTTTACTACCGCCGAATTCTTAAGAGAAACCTGAATTTCTTGTGCTTCATGTATTATCCTGTTTCTGAGGTCTTCTATTGTGGGTACAGGATTTTGATCAGAGTATAATAAAGTTTGCATGTGACTCCACACAAAGAAGTCCATAGGTGTAAAATCGGGACTGCGTGCTGGCCATGGGATTGGTCCGCCTCTACCGATCCATCGATTCGGAAACTGCTCATTTAATCAATTTCTAACACTTAGTCTGAAATCTGCTGGGCACCCGTCATGCTGAAAAATCATTCTGTGTCTTGTGTGTAGCGGCACGTCTTCAAGTAATTCAAAGAGAACGTTTCTCAAGAAATTTTCGTAGGCTTCTCCATTTAAGTTGTCGGGTAGGAAATGTGGTCCTACCAAACAGTTATTTATAATGCCCATCCAGACATTCAGACAAAATCGCCTTTGAGATCCTTTTGATCTCTTCATATGAGGATTTCCCACTGCAACCTCATGCCAATAGTGAGCGTTGTGGTAGTTTGTTATGCCGTCTTTATCAAATTTTGATTCGTCGGTCCATAGACTTTCAGCGTTTAAAATAAAACGACAAAATTGCATGCGCCTCATGGGATCACCTTCCTGTATGACGTGCACACGTGTGTAGTGGTAAACATACCACACTTGCCATTGGGATAATCCAAACCGTCGAGCCACAGCGCGAGTAGAGAGAGTAGGGTCTCTTTGGAAAATATTTAATATTTCTTCTTCCTCTTCTTCCAAATCATGTCGAGGTCTACCTGCATCCTGCATTACCTGAAATAAAATGAAAAACAAATAACAAGTTTTTTGGAGGAAATTGTTACCTAATAAACATAGCGGTAAGACTATGAGCTAGAGTTGGCAAAATATTATTTAGAAAAAACGATACGCAACGTGTGGATGCTTCCATCTTCAGAGCCGTGTAGATGCTCGTGTTAAAATTAAATGAATAAACTCTTAATTAAGAAGTTCAATCAACTGTATCAAAACAACTATGTTACAGTATCATCAGTTCAGCCCACAGACCTCCAAGGCTCTACATAGGCCTTACTGAATGACTGATTATAATAAGTTAATAATCATCAATGATGCAAACTTACCTTGATATCTTTCGACGGTACCGCGCTCTCGAACCTGGCGGAACGTTTGCCTAAATACGCGGGCGTCAGGTAGGCGACGGTTAGGAAACATTTCCCCATACTCACGACGAGCTTCTTCAGCATTGCGTCTGGCATCTCCATAGTAGGAAAGGATATCGGCATCTTCTTCGAAACTTAACGGCCGCATCCTTTGTTCATCGATAGGTAGATCAACGAACACTCAAGTCACACAGCAGCCAAGTCGTAAGGAATCACAGAAAACAGGGTACAGTCTAGGTCGTCAGGAAAACAATCACACACGGAAGTCCAACAAGAGCCAAGTCGTTAGAAATATCAAAACAGCGAGCAAACAAACACATTCGAATGCAACAAATCGCAAGAGCAGATCGAAGCGAGGGAGGGAGGGGGGTGACTAGACTTAATTATCACACTATTCTGGTGGCAAAGTCCGATGTTCGCGGCTCTACCTATTTCTTTTACTCATATCTTTGTCATTTCTAAACCGGTTTGTGACTTTGATACCTCATTTGAAAGGTAATGAAACGTAGATATTTTAAAATTGTTTTGCACGAAAAATTTGTAGGTGATTGTTTCTAGTAAATTGAGTTTTTGAGATGAACTAAGATTTTTTTTAACAAAAATTGAACTATTTTGAAGCTTAGTGCATAAGATAACGTCAATAATGTACATATGAGTATCAATTTTCGTATTTTGGAATATTTTTATTGTAAAACAAAAAAAAATCAAATGAAACACCCATTTTTCAAGTTTTATGACTAGGTTAACGTATAAAGGACGTTAATTTTATAAAATCTTAAAAATTAGTATACTTCGAAAACGGCTAATTTTCGGCAGTAAGTTCCTATAGTAAAATCGACTCAGATTGGCTTGTACTATCTCCCCCCACCGGCTCCGCATCTATTTTCCCGTCACCCTGTATACAGAAGCCTGAATACTAGGGCACAGCAGCTGCTTAAAGAAACTTTGTTAAATCAATTTTTGAACTGCCTAAGGTTAGTAGAATTGGGAAAAGCCTCTCAAATTGATGCACAATCTCAATACCTTAGAGGAGCGGTCGTATCGACCAGTTCTGGATGCCAAATTGTTGCATTTCCAAGCAGTGGTATTCTGCAGATCTCTCATCAGAGGAAGTTGCTGCTAGTTTTCTTTTCTTCAGCTCATTGGTAGAGATCTGCTTGTCACTCCTGCATGTAGAGTGCTGTCATCATCAAAGCAGCGGATCAGATTGATACAGAAAAAGAGGTCTTTGATATGTAATAGAAACAATTTTGAAGCTAATACTGATCACTGGGGAACATCCGCATTCACATTGTGGGAGAAAGAGGAGAACCTGTCAACTATGACAGATATCTTGAGCTTGATTGATTCTCCATTTCTGTGATCGCGTTTTTGTTAGCAATCTTACATCAGGTTGAAATTTCATCTTCTAAAGGGACTAATAGACATTTGAACAAAACCAGAAGGCAGAGGTTGAACATTTTATTGTTAAAAAAGGGACTTATTTGTTATATACTAATTTATTCTATCTGTATCCTGTGATCAGTGGCTCAGCTTGATGGGGGACTTCTAAATGCCGAAAAAATCAGTGGAATTTCAAAAACTGTGTAAGTAGTCACATTGCCCCACACCACACAGTAAAGTTCCAGTTTTCACGCTGCTCTGGGACCTCTTCAGATGCAGGGTCCATGCTCTTGTGTGCCTCTTCATGGCTCGAGATAGTCTTGGTGCTGAGTGTCACTCACTGAAGGATCAAATGGCAAAAACCCCTTACACGTTTCCGTTCCACAAAAACATTTCTTTCCGGATATATTATTAACATTTACTGTTCCATAGCTATATGTAATCTCACTACCTTCATCTATGCCTTTGTCTGCAAATATTCCTAATATTGGTACAGTATCGTCTACTCTCAAAATAAAAAGTTTTGTGTTTGGTTCACAGCTGTGGTTGATGTACCTTCCTATGTTTCCATAAAAAGTTGGGTCTATGTATGTCCTAACTTCTTTTTCAGCATAATTTTCCTTGATGCAAAAAATGTAATTTGGTTTGTCTGTATTCGATTTAAATCTCTTGCTAGCCTCAGCTTCTGTGATTATTTCCCCAGCATATTCACATACAAAACAGCCTTTAGGTATTTTTTTACTAGTATAAAGTGCCAAGCCTTTATCCGAGGTTTCTTCAACTACCAAGTCTTTTCTAGGTCCATATTGAACTAATCTATTCCCACAGTATGTTCCACATTTACAATTACTGTTACATTCATAACTGCAATTATTATTATTCTTTTCTTCTATCGTATATTCCTCAAGACTCTTTATTGATTTGTATTGATAGTATGTGCCACTTCTCCTTACACAAGAACAATTTGTATCCATTGTGCATTGTTCGTGACAATTACAGCCTGCAATATTATAATTATACAGCGACTCTGCTTCCTTTGTAATTAAATTCTTTGAAAGATAGAATACATCGGACAATTCATGTTCGTAGGTATCTTCTAGTTCCATTTTTCCTGATTTATAAAATCATCAAATGTTCACACAGTATCCATTAAATGTCAGTGTCAAAACTGACAGATGAGCAAACAATAGAGATGGGTACAGTGAAAATTTATGAGCTAGTTATAGAGATGTAACAATCGATTCGTGATTCTCATAGAGATGTGTATAGTGCATTTGAACTACTAAGATAGTGTACATAACATATAAAAAGAAACGTATTTGAAAATAGATGAATAAAAACAGCTTCTATTATTTATATATCTGGTCTGAGTGAAGATAACATGGCCAAGCAAGACAACTGTTGAAATGTATTCTACTAGACTCTAGAAGACTATCCGTAGCGAAATTTTTGCCGAAATCGTTGCACAACACTTAAAGAAATGCAAACGAAAATTGGAAAAGTGCCGCTTTGACGTTCTAAATGACTCCGTCGGTACTCCTGGATAGCCATCCGTCTTGACAGATAACCTAGTCATTCTGGCAGCGTTGCCGGCTCATCGGACGATTTTGCTACCTTTGCTATTTTGATAGAATATTATAAAATATTGAGGAATACCAGTGGAGATATATAAAATTTGAGGCGTAGCAATGTTTGCCAAAAAACTAAACAAAAGCTGTTATTTACATTTTGCGTCGCCTGGCGTCAACGCGGCAGAACGTTAATGTATCTGAACATTTTTTAAATACCCAGTTCTGTAGGATAAAATTCTTTTTGAAGACCAACAATTGGAAAACAAACAATGTTTTATTATATAAATATACTATTTTATCTAAAATAACATGATCTTAATATGAGAAGTACGATTTTCATTTTACTCTACTATTTATTAGTATCCGTCTTATACGCAGATTCCAGGTTTGAAAACGCCAGAGAATCAACGCTTGATTTTTTGCACCATACTTCGTAAACATAGTGCCAAAGCATGACACTGTCAATTATAGACTTGGACTAAAAATAGTATTTTGTTGGAGGCTTTGCTAATAGTTTTGAGATTTTTCAAAAAAGAATGTAAGTACATAAGAATACTTACAAGAACGTTAGATTAGTGCACGTTTTTATGAATTTCTTTTTATAATAATGTATTACAGGGTGGTCAAGATAAGGATCAGACTAGGTTAAATTCATTGATCACACAATCTTACATCAAGCATTTGTTTGCAACGCATACTTAAATAAAATGAAAAAATAGAAAAAAATACTTTTGTTTATAACTTAAAGAAAAAATGTAACGTGATATATCGTTGAAGTCGTAGAAAAAGGTGCTATTAGATACGGTTCGTACTTTTTTAAATGTTGTGCACTTCGGGCATATTAAAAAACACCATCATGTAGTGCCATTAGTTTTCCCAAATACCTCAGAATATGACTAATCTCTCAGTGTATGCAATGTGCGCAATTTATTTAAAAAATATAGGCTGTCAACCTCATAAGAGTTGGAAGTAGACCTAATTTCCACTTTGGCGACACTTGACATCCACGTCACGGCACTAAAGCACCACCGAGACACAATCGAGAACCCTATAGTAAACACCACTACTAAGAAAAAGTAAACCAAATAGAGCGGCACGGAGCTGTGACATTCCGCTGGGCCGACGGTTGCCGGGAGACTGAAGCGTATGCGTGCTGTACCTCGCTGCGGCGATACGGTACGGCCGGGTAGTACAGCCATGCCCCTTTCCAGCTCCCACTCCGCTCGTCTGCTTACCGGTCAACGTAAACATCGAGTCGCTTCGGGAGCAGACGCGCGGAGTGGGAGCTGGAAAGGGGCGTGGCTGTACTACCCGGCCATACCGTATCGCCGCAGCGAGGTACAGCACTCGCTTCAGTCTCTCGGCAACCGTCGGCGTAGCGGAATGTCCACGCGTTACAGCTCCGTGCAGCTCTATTTGGTTTACTTTTTCTTAGTAGTGGTGTTTACTATAGGGTTCCGATTGTGTCTCAGTGGTGCTTAGTGCCGAGACGTGGGTGTCAAGTGTCTCCAAAGTGGAAATTAGGTCTACTTCCAACTCTCATGAGGGAAACAGAGGATACATGTGCAGTAAACTAGGTGAGCCTTGCATACTCATCTATTTGTGTGTTAGGGTTGACAGCCTATGTTTTTTAAATAAATTGCGCACATTGCATACACTGAGAGATTAGTCGTATACAGAGGTATTTGGGAAAAACTAAAATTTGGCTAAATCGTTTTTATTTTTATCTGACTTTATTTTTAGAAATGTCAAAAAACTAATGGCACTACATGATGGTGTTTTTAAATGTTGTGCACGTCGGGCGACACTGTATCCAATAGCATCTTTTACTACGACTTTAACGATGTATCACGTTACATTTGTTTTTTTTTAGTTATAAAAAACGTGTTTTTTTTTTCTATTTTTTCATTTTATTTAAGTAGGAGTTGCAAACAAATGCTTGATGTACGATTGTGTGATTACTGAATTTAACCTAGTCTGATCCTGATCTTGGCCATCTTGTAATACATTATTTTAAAAATAAAATAAAATCTAACGTTCTGATAAGTATTCTTACGTACTTATATTCATTTCTGAAAAATCTCAAAAATATTAGAAAAGTCTCGAACAAAAGAATATTTCTAGTCCAAGAAATTGGTGATAGACAATAATTGACACTATTACACATCGTGCTTTGACACCAAGCCCTTGCCACTTTGTTTACTAAATATAGTGCAAAAAATCAAGCGTTGATTCTTTGGCGTTTTCAAACCTGTAATCTTAACCCCGTGTTTAGGAAACTACAATGTCTTACCTCGGTTGTTGGGGGATACGAGGGCACCAAATATCCAACAAGAGTAGGGATATAAGATGCGCTGATTCCGTCCGCCTGTGATTCCACATGATCGACGAGTTATAAGTTGGATTCTAGTTCAAATCCTTCAGCTGTCCATTTTTAGCTTCCTCAAAATTAATCCCTAATATCTCTGCGTATAAGACGGATACTAATAAATAGTAGAGTAAAATGAACATCGTACTTCTCCTATTAATGATCATGTAATTTTTGATCAAATAGTTAATAAATATATTTATATAATAAAACATTGTTTTTTTTCAATTGTTGGAAAAGTTTTTATCCTAAAAAAACTGGGCATTTATAAAAGTGTTCAGAGACATTAACGTACCGCCGCATAGGCGCCAGGCAACGCAAACATTGCTACGCCTCAAATTTTATATAACTCCATTGGTATTCCTCAATATTTTATTCAAAGCTCCTTTTTTTATAACATTCTATCAAAATAGGAGAGGTAGCAAAATTGTCCGATGAGCTGGTAACGCCGCAATCTAGATGACAAGATTAACTGCCAAAACGTATACCTATCCCGGTAACGACGGAGTCACTACGCCAAAGCGGCAATTCTCCAATTTTCATTTGCATTTCTTTGTGCAACAATTTCGGCAAAAATTTCGCCACGGATAGTCTTCTAGAGTCTAGTAGAATACATTTCAACAGTTGTCTTGCTTGGCCATGTTATCTTCACTCGGCAGTTTTCCAATCTTCATTTGCGGTGTGCAACGATTTCGAGAAAAAGTTCGTTACGGATAGTCTTCTATAGTCAACGCCAAACAAAGTGGCGTGCACGTCATCAAGGTGGGTGTGTTGAAAAATTTACATTGTTGCCAAACTTTTTGTAAAATAATAAAATTTATTATTTACATATCTAGGTTTATAAGCAATATTAACCTCAAATGAGAACAAAAATAATAGTATAATAAAATTATAGATTTGTACTTGCATAATCATTAAGTATGACAATTATTGATCAGATGACACTATGAAACTACCATATTTAATTGATAGCTTAAAGGTACTGAATAAAAATCCAAATGGGGTCCTCCAAATTTTATGCATGGTATTTATTTTACAGAATTCATACAGAAAAATGCATTCTAAAATTAGGTAAGCTACTGGTGTAAGCTTTTTCTGTACAATAAAGTTAGTCGGAGTTTCTTTCTTCAGCGCTGTCTGAATCTGAATCTTCATCACTCTCAAAGTTGATTATTAAAGGTTCGATGTCTGGTCGATCAAAAATTCGTTCTCTTTCATACCAGTTAAAAATTTCTTGCTCAGTATGTCGAACACTATTTTTCCACATGTCTGGGGTAACCGTTTGTAGAGCCTCGTTCCACATATCCAAACAGTCTTTTTCACTGTTACCATCTCTACCAATATGTCTGTTATAGTAACCTTTTGCTATGCCCCAAATTAACTCAATAGGGTTAAATATACAATGAATGGTAAGGAGGCAGACGAAGAACTTTGTGCCCATGTTGTTCCGCCAATTCATCAATCACGTATATTTTAGGTGGTTTGTTTCTAAAAAAGCAGTTATTTTAAGAATAGGAATAAACAAAAGAAATATAAACTGTCGACCAAAATATATATAATTAAGAAGCATTATGTACCGAGCAACAATACTCAATAGCTCTGTTTTAAACATTGTGTTTAAAAATGGTATGTTTTGATTTGTCAACCAGTCTTGGATATTTTTTTTTGACCATGCATTGTTGGGCACTTTGTTCAATATCATGCTGTGATAAGGGGCGTTATCCAGTATAATCATAGATGGACTCTCCAATTTTTCTAATAACTGATGTTGAAACCGTTTCAAAAAATTGTCCTGGTTCATCTCTCCATGGTAATCGCTCAATTTTGTTTTCGAAGAAAATATCGCTTCACTACCCTCAATAAACCCATTTTCATTTCCAGCATGTAATATAATGTATCTAAAATATATTAGTTTTAAATTTTATAGTGCAAATTGTGTAAAAGTACATACCTTTTACCATCTGTTTTAATAGCTTTCACGCTTTTTTGGTTTCCATTTTGCCAAGAGCGACCTATGGTCCCATTTTGAAATATCCAAGTTTCATCGAGGAAGACAAACTGGTATAAGGCCTCAACCTTGGCTTGATTGTATTGCCTTAGAAATTCCACCCTTTTCAAAGCTATACTTGGTAGTTCCATGAGCCCTCGTCGCGGATTGTCCTTAAGCCACTTAAATCCAAGATCTCTAAGCAACCGCCTTAAAGACGTGGCACTACCATCAAATAATGCCCTATCTCTTAATCGAGACCATAAAGTTTGTATCGTAACTTGTTCTTCTGAAACCATGTGTAATATGACATTATAATTTAGTTAACAAATTAATGCAAATTTCTGATAAGTTATTATAATAAGATCTTACTTTTGTGATACATATTATAGATCACTTCTCGAATGGCACTTGTATCCAATGTCGCTGTGTTGGTTACACGTTTAATATAACTCCGCTTTTTCTTGGGCGATTCTAAATTTGCATCACTTTTCACACCCTCGGAAATACGACTAACTGTCCTTAAACTAATTTTTAAAGCAGCAGCAACACGCTACAAAAAATGAAATAAAATTTCACTATTATTAATATACATTACATATAATTATTAGTAACCTACCTCTTGAACAGCATTTAAAGGCAACAAAGGCCCGTTGTTGTCCCTTTCTTGCTCAAAGTAGTGCATTAACGAGGCCACGAGTTCCTTACACCGACTATTTAACTGTTTGGGCATCTTTATATACCAAAATTGCCTTTATCTACTCGTAAAATGAATAATTTTGTTTTGAAACAAACAGTTGTTGATTTACAGTATGCGGGGCCAAAGGATTTATAAAGATTTGAAATGCCACAAATTGATTCAGTGTCAAAATTAATACAAATGTCAGTTCCCAGTTTAAATAAGTTTCAAGGTGACAATGTGTCAACGCTGCGAAATCGGTTTAGTGCGTTTACATGTCGATAAGTGATTGGAGCGTTTGCAAAACATTTTATTTCGCATAATGAGCCTAAATTTATCAGAAAGCAACTTATGTGATATTTTAATAACAATGTTTATATGACTATTAACCATAATAAGAGAGTAATGACCATTTTACAATTTATATATCACCTTAATATGAAACTGCAATAGAGCAATTGTTTGTGATAGAAACCTAGGCATTAGGTCGGGGAATTTTTATCGTGATGACGTGCACGCCACTTTGTTTGGCGTTGACTATAGAGTCTAGCAGAGTATATTTCAATAGTTGCCTTGCGTGGCCATGTTATCTTTACTTGGGCCATATATCTGGGTATTTTAATTGATTTTTTGCATTTTCTTTAGCCTACCCACTACATAAGTCACCTTTTGGGCCATGAAGGTCCTGGTAGTGTTTTGTCTTTGCTGAAAGCCCGAGGATGGTCAAGCAGCCTCATAGCTGGTGATAAACCGTGCCCTAGGGGCTTTGGCTTCTTCCATGTAGCTGTCGATCTTTCAGAAGAAGGCATGAATCACATTGACGATATTGTTAAGATTATCTTTCAGGTAAGCATGTTAGATTATATTAGATAATCATTGTTTTTTATATACAACAGAAGTTTTATTTTTATATTGCTTTCAGTACCTGAATATGTTGAAAAAGGAAGGACCCCAAAAATGGATTCAAGACGAAAATAGAGACATTTATAAGATGGTGTTTAGGTTCAAAGATAAGGAAACCCCTAGGAGCTATATTTCTGGTATAGTTCACTATCTCAAGGTACATACCATCAATAAGGTCGATTTGTCCAAAGTACTGAGTCAATCTACTTGCCGGTTTTCTTTTCTTTTCCAGGATTATCCAATGGAACACGTTCTTTGTGCGAACTACGTTTTGGACGAATGGCGACCAGAGCTGATTGAAGAAATGTGGAATAAATTTGTTCCACAAAAAATGAGGTAATAATAAATTGTGAGATAGTGTGGATGGGTAATTGTTTTAATCGAATTTAAGGATGTCTGTCATTGCAAAGAAATACGAGGATGAGCTGGATCAAGTTGAGCCATGGTATAAAACAAAGTATGCCAAGAAACCTATTCCTGAGGAGACAATTAAGGTCGATGATGTATATTATCTTGAAAATTGTTTCTGGAGGTTTTTATAATTCTGTTTGTTTTGCACTTGTCTTCATTGGCGGATCTTTGATTACATGTGTTTTTTTTCATATTTTTAGTTTTGGGAAGAAGCTGGACTTTGCCCTGAACTTAAATTGCCAGAGAAGAACGAATTTATACCTACAGATTTTAAGTTGTACACTTTGGACGAAGATGTAAGTAACTTTGTGTCAACCTGTCAAACCAGATTTTGAGTTATACTGTTTGCTGCCCACGCAACTGGCGAGGAAGCGTTGTAATCGCGTGAAACTTGAAGAATGAGATAGAAAAAACTGTCACTTGAGTTGGCCAACTTTTTTACTCTCTATTAATTAACATTGGAAAGTACCGCTCGGATTTTGACGAAATTTTTATAAAATGCTGCAACTATGTAAAGGATGAGAAAACTTTTTGTTTTTAAAAATCGGTCTAGTGAAAACGAAAAAATGAAAATCGCTCAAACTTCATTTTTGACGTTTCCGAGACTTCTGATCATTTAAAAAAATGTAGGGCTTTTTGTTGTAGTACATTTTCCCATAGAACTTCGAAATATAGAGAAATATTTTCAAAACACGCGTATCTATATACAGTAATGGACAAAAGTATATAAACAAATTAATATTGTGCTGTATTTCTTTTTTAACTTGTTTTATTAATACACCAACCTGTAAATAATTCGTAATAGCATAATACTCACTTATACATAAATAAATTCATTAGACTCCCTTCAATAAAAAATTTATTGAAAAAAACTGGAACTATGAAGGACAAAAATATATAGACAAAGCAAAACAATTATAGAAAAAAGAAGCAAAGTTCATTGAATTATTGAGAACCAGCCATGTTTGTGTTAATATTTTGTAGCATAACCATTATTATCAATCGCCGCCTGGCATCGACTCGGCATAGATTGTAGAAGTTTCTTGATATAAGATTTATCAATCTGTCTCCACTTTTGCTCTAAAGCGGCAAAAAGTTCATCTTTGTTTGAATAATTTTTATCTCGTATTTGCTTATCTAAGTATTCCCATAGATCTTCAATGGTATTTATATCGAAAGACTGTGAAGGCCATTTGAGAACTGGTATTTTTTCATCCAGAAAAAATTTCTTTGCGAGATTTGAAGTGTGCTTCGGGTCATTATCTTGCTGGAAGATTGATCTTAAGGGGTATTGTCTTCCATATAGGGTAACATGACATGCTTTAGTATGTCTGTGTATAAAAATTTTTCCATAATGCCATCTATTCTATGTAAAAGTCCCATCCCAAACACCGAAAAGCACCGCCAAACCATAACAGACCCGCCTCCATGTTTGACAGTGGGCAAAGTGTACTTGGGGTTCAATCTTTGTCCACTAGGACGTCTAATGTTATGAACACCATCTGATCCAAACATATTGAACTTGGATTCGTCACTGAAACATACCCTCTTCCAGTCACAGTTGCTCCAATCAAGTTGCAACCACGCAAATTGTAATCGGCCCTTACGGTTTTTCCTCGAGATTGCAAATAACTTCAAATCATTTAATCTTCTACTTATAGTTTTCGTAGAAACACTGACAATTCCTTTTGTCCAGATTTCGGCTTTTATTTGTCTTGGCGTTTTAAACGGATCTTTGGACGAAATTACTTTTATCAATCTAACTGATCTAGCATTTAGTTTTCTAGGCCGACCACTTCTCTTAGAGGCTTCCAAGATACCATCTTGTTTATATTTGTTCAATATTGCCCAAACTGCTTTACGCTTCAGCTTCAAATTTTTGGCAATGTCGACTTGACGTTGACCAGCTTTGTATAACTCAACGATCTTAGTTTTCACATCGAAAGAAATTTCTGGACCACGCGCCATGGTCTGAAAATCACTCAACTTATCCCACAATACTTGGTGAACACAAACTAATCCTCTTCTGACACGGAACTGTACTAAACTAATGTTGAAAAGAATTTGTCTACATATTTTTGTCCCTCATAAAAAAGTGCTTATATGCAGACTTGTATTGTGTTCATTGCAGATAATGTAAAAACAAGGAATTTAGTTTTTCTACTAATAACGCATTTGTTGATGGAGCAATGAAGTATGAATTCGTTTTCTAAAGGTATTTAGGTAAATATTCATATTTGTCTATATACTTTTATCCATTACTGCATATCTCCATCATGCGCTCACTTTTTGTATCGGAGGGTCTAATTTCTAATGAACTAATTACAACGTTGCTTGAAAAGTGCAAAGTCCACCTACTTGACGCCCTTTTTCTAGGTAACAGAATTCCCAGCTATTGTTGAAGACACTGCTTTGATGAGAGTGTGGTTCAAACAGGATGATCAGTTTTTGCTGCCAAAAGCGAATTTGTTCTTCGATTTTGTGAGGTAAAATTTGTAAAAAGAGTAAATTGCAACGTAGCAATTCTAATTTTTCGTATTTTTCAGCCCACTAGCGTATTTGGACCCGTTGAACTGCAACCTAACTCACATGTTCGTTCAACTGTTCAAAGATGCTCTCAACGAATACTCTTATGCCGCAGACCTAGCGGGCTTAAAATGGGAGCTTGTCAACACAAAGTATGGCCTCATCGTAAGTTTTTTAAATGAAATTTATCCCTACTAGGATACGAGTGTTTCAAAAAAACGTGGCGATAATTCTAGTGCATAAATTGGATAAAAAGAATGACATGGAAAGTATGGAAAGTCTTTATAAACATGCTCCCTTACTAAGATACGGGGGGGTGAAGTTTCAATCCTGAAGTGTGTTAAGATATTGACTTAAAATTTTGTGCACTGAGTATTAACTAAAACGTACAAAAATGTTCGTGTCTTTGGCGTAGAAATGGGAAAATTTTGACCTCTACAAAAGGAAAAAGAAAATTATTTTCTACGTCACCAAGTTTTTAAAAATATCTATCTGGGCCAGCAGACCTGACAGACTGACGACAGACACTGACATTACAGTGTCTATGACCTAAAGGCTAATGTCCTCCGGACCGCCTTGAGAAGCAACGACGAGTAGTAGTGCTATTCTGCCACTTAACAAAAAAATACAACAGTACAGCAAAAAACAAAACAGATATTTCAATGTTAGCAAGAGTAATAATAGTTGTATAAATAAATTTTGTATAAAATATAAATCATAAAGCATCCCACAAACCGGCGCGAAATAATCGCGGCGAAGTATTCGCAACGAAATTCAGAGCGAAATCTGTTTCGCCTGTTTATTCATACCAAAGCGTCTTATTCGCTCCGCGAACGTGAAGGTTTCGACAGGTTGCGTACATTTTATTTTTGCCTTTTGCAATGAGCTCGTCTTCAGAAGAAGAGGAGGCACTTCTATTTCTTGCTTTAGAAGAGGAACAAAATGCACGGTAAGTTACGTTTATTTAACGCCATTTGATAGTTGGGTATGTATTAAGTTTAACGAAGTACATAAAACAAATATTTTCAATTTTGTTTAGGAAACGAAGGAAGTCGGTACATGATATTAACTTGGAACGAAATAAATTTGGGGAATACCATACCTTGATGCCACAACTTCGGCTGGATGAACAGCGCTTTTACGTATATTTTAGAATGACTCCAGAGTGTTTCGATGAAATATTGAACTTGATGAAAGATGAAATACGAAAATCTGACACAAATTATCGTGAAGCTATTTCGCCAGAAGAACGACTTGCTATTACACTCAGGTAAAAAAATTATATGTATTAAAATTAGTAGGCTTATCGAATACGAAAACTTCAGGGATCGCGAAATAAATATTTTATTGTAATAATTGGACTACATGTTGCCACTAGGATTAAATGTTGCTAAATAATTCGAGGCAGAATTTGCCTCCTCTGTTGGGTATATTATTGGAGTAAACCCAGTGCCGCTTGGGAAGGACGACATACTACTATCATACAAACTTGCAGAATTCTGGGTAGACGCTGAAGACATTTCTTCAATATGTTCAAATTCTTCGTGCGCTATTAATTCGGCTATTTTTAGTTTTATTCGGGCTTGACGCTTTAAGGGAAGTGTTTTCACAGTCTGTGCATGTGCCAAGAAAAGTGAATCAATCGCCTCGTTCTCTTTTTTAGGTTTTTTACCTTCAAAATAATTAATGAGCTGTTGTACAGACGAAGATGGTGGTTCATAGCGTTTTCTGCTCGTTTTATATTTTGGTGTAGTTGCAGTCTGCGGAAAGGTGTGCCCTGGAGTAGTCACTGCTGTAGTGTTCAATGAAGAAGGTGGTGCTGTCTGTGTTGCCGAGGCGTTCTGTGCATCTTCTGCATCTACATCAGCATTTTCATCTTCTCCATGGCCGCGGTCTTCCAAATTTTCGGTTTCTACATTTCCAGCCCTTTCCTGATATATATTTGAGTTAAATTCGGCAGTCTCATAATGTATGACGTCAATATCTTTCACATTAGACGACGTTTTGGCAAATGCCAAAAAAGGACGGAAAAATTCCATGTAGTCAGCCCACTGCCATTTTTTTATGTTGCCCACTGCTTGGCCGGTCTTTGGTTTGCAAATGTGTCTCTGATATTCTTCCACCTTTTTTTTACTTCATCACCTAAAAACGATTTTTTTATAGATTCCTTGCCACTGGTGACACCTTCTATACCATTGGGCATAGCTTTCGAGTTGGCTTTACAACAGTGAGTGCAATCGTAACTGAAGTCTGTGAAGCGATATGCAGACATATGGAGCATATATATTTACCAGAACCAACAGAGAATATATGGAAAAAATGTGCTGAAGAATTTGAAAATAGATGGGGATTTCCCAATTGCATTGGCAGCGTGGACGGTTAACATGTAACAATCAAGAGACCTAACAACAGTGGCTCCAATTACTGGTGCTATTTACATAAATATTCAATAGTACTTATGGCCATTGTTGGCCCGGACTATAAATTTATATGTGTTGATATTGGTGGTTTCGGAAAAAATAGTGATGGGGGTATTTTCGAAACCTCAAACATGGGAAAACGATTTGAACAAAATTTAATGAGTGTCCCTGCACCTAGATTTCTCCTTTGGGCAAAATGAAATCTGCTCGTACGTCTTAATTGGTGATGAAGCATTTGCTTTAAAACCATACCTTATGAGACCATTTCCTTATAAGCAGACTTTAACAGACGTCAGAAAAGAGAAATACAATGTAAGACTTTGTCGAGCTAGAAGGGTCGTGGAAAATGCGTTTGGTATTTTGTCTCAAAAATGGCGAATATGTTACAGGCCATTAGAAACTAAAGTAGATACTACTATTCTAATTGTACGTACGGCATGTGTTTTACACAATTTTTTACGAAGTAAAAGTGGCGATGACAAATATTTTCAATTCTTAGATCCCCCAGAACCCGTGCTTGGAGCTTTTACTGATATAGCAAATGATCCTCGGCGGGCAGCAAGGCTAGCATTTTCTACTCGTGACAAATTCGTAAATTATTTTAATTCTGATATGCCTATGCCCAATATATAGAATGTTCGTTTTCACATTTGTGTAGACTGTAAATTATTTAACAAGTTAATAAAAAATATTAGGTACATACCATTTGTCTTTAATTCTTTTCCTATTTCCATCAAAATCTTGTCTTTCTTTCTCACATTCCTGTATTCATCGTTCGACAAATCATACAAACAAGGATACTTTTTCACTATTTCTATCAATAATTCCGTTTTTGCCATTGCGAATTTTTGCAGCCAAAGCGAATATTTCGCGCCGGTTTGTGGGATGCTTTACAGTTTTACAATTGAAAGTATTAAATTTTACATCTCAAATTTTTGTGAAGTGAAAGGCTATAAAACAACTAATTTAAGTATGTTTATCTAAAATAAATATTTTAATGTGTTTTCTAAATTTTCCATGATTTTATGATTATCTGATGAGAGTATTTAATGCTAGGATCCGTTTTAGTTAGGAATCGGAGGCTACAGCAATAAACAGCACATCCTTTTGCAAAAAATCATGGACAAACTGACAAATTTCAAGATAGATCCGAGGAGGTTCCATATGGTGAAAGACAATGTAAGCACAACGTCGAATTAGAAAGATAAATAGTTGTTAACGTGGTCTGTTTATAGTACATCAGAAACTTGAAGAACTTCAACGCTGAACAGCCATATCAACATGCTGTTTATTATCTGACAGTTCTTCTAACTGAACTATCGTGGACTAAGCAGGAACTGCTGGCAGCAACGGAATGTAAGAATCTCACATTTTTTACGCTTTAAAATCATTTTTTCACGTGCCTTTTTTTTTCTAGTAATTACAATTGATAGGTTGGAAGCATTCATACCTCAGGTATTATCGAAAATGCACATTGAATGCATGGTTCATGGAAACGCTAACAAAGAAAAGGCCTTGGAACTCGTGCATATCGTTGAAGACACACTTACATCTTCTCTGAGCATGTCACCTTTGCTTCCAAGGTTTGTTCATACTTCCAGTGTACAATTTTTGCAAATTTATTTATATACAGTTTGGGGTATTAACAGGTAAACCCAACACACACCCTCAGTGAACTAAAACTAAACTTACATAAAATATCGTATACATATACATATATTACATTATTGAATACTTCAATATTAGTATTTTTTTATCCTCCGATATTGTTGTAACAACATAAACTGAGTGAGTAGTTCTAATTATAAGCAATAAACTATTAATTTAACTTTTTTAATAAAAGGAGTATACATAATTTAACATTTACTTACGTTTAATTAAAACTGAAATCAAAATTAAATTGAAATTATACCAGAAATGATATTGGAGGTGATAACTTGAGTTGTAAAAAAATAAAACATTTCTATTTTAGTCTGCCATAGAGCTGTAATACTCATACTTTAAAGCCTTTTTCAGGGAGGTCAAGCTAATGTTAAATAAATCTATATTACAAAAATTATTATGATTTTTTTGAGCCCTGACCAAAGGGGAATTAAGACCAAGATTGGTTCTACGGAACGGTATTCTAAACAGGTGATAGATTCTAAACGTTCTATCAGGAGTGTTAAAGTTCAACAATTTATGGACACAGCAAATGTCAGAAATCGTTCTTCTATCTTTTAAGGAAATCATATTGAACTGTTTCATAATTTGCGTATAATGATGATCTGTAACAGGTTGGTGAGTTGTATGTGCTAACATCTTCAAAAATTTGTGTTGAATTCTTTCTATCCTGACTATATGTACATTGTAAGACGGATTCCATATTACTGATGCAAACATCAGTTTGTTGTGTATATAAGCGTAGTACAATGAAAGAAGCGTTTTTGGGTTTGTAAATTCTCTGCATGTCCTGTTTATGAACCCTAGTGTTCTATTTGCATCATTTACGATGTGCTCTACGTGGGTGATGAATGAGAGTTTCTCATCAATGTATACCCCTAGGTCTTTTACTACATGAAGCTTTTCCAGTTCTGCCGTCCCTATCTTATATCTGAAATCCAGAGTGTTCACTATGTTTCTAGTAAGCCTCATGTAATGACATTTTGTTAAATTCAGGAAGATACTGTTTTCAGTGCAATACTTTTGCAGAGATTCCAAATCGCTTTGAAGTTTTACACCGTCATTTACATTTCTAACAATAGTAAATATCTTTAGATCATCAGCATATAACAAATATTTACTGAAATGAAAAACAGAAGTAAGGTTGTTCATGTATATGTTAAATAACAATGGTCCTAAGTGACCTACCTTGTGGTACGCCTGAAGTTACTAAGAATGTCTTCGAACGATACCCATTGATAGTCACCACTTGTTTATGATTACTTATATACGATGCTAGCCACTGCCATAATGGACCATCTACACCCACCTCAGCAAGTCTCTCCATCAAGATAGAATGATCAATCTTGTCGAAAGCCTTACTGAAGTCGGTATAAATAACATCCACCTGCAGTTTCTCATCTATTGCGTGAGAGGCATATTCTATAAAACTCATCAAATTCGTCTCTACAGATCTTTTAGGGAAAAATCCATGCTGGTGTTCCGTAATGATATTTTTTGTAATGTTTAAGATAGCATCATAAATCAGCTTTTCAAAAATTTTTGAGAAAATACAAAGTTTAGTGATAGGTCGATAATTTTCCACAAGATGTCTATCGCCTCCTTTATGAATAGGCAATATTTCACCTCCTTTCCATCTCGTTGGAAAGACTCTTTGAGTTAATGATAGTTTGAAAATTAGGTGAAGTGGTAAACATAAGCTAGCGGAACAGTTTTTTATAAATACAGAAGGTATGCCGTCAGGGCCTACTGATTTTTTAATTTCTAAGGACACTATTTGTCGATATATTTTTTCAATGGATATTAAGGTAACATCAATAGGTCTAGCATCCTTGTTTAAATAAAAATGTTTAGATTTAACATATACACTTGCAAAGAAATCAGCAAAGGCATTACACACCCCACTTCCGGTTTTAACTTCATAGTTTGAATGATTTATAGAACGAGGTATAGAGACATGACATTTTTTCTTACTTGAAACGTATTTCCAAAAGTATCGGCTGTTGTTCAATATATTGTTTTCCATCATTATTATCTATTCATCCAGGTTTTCCTTAATTAAGATTTTTGATTTGGCTCTAAGTTCACAGAATATCTGATATGAGTATGGATCATTAAAACGTTTGTATAGTCTATGATACTTATTTTTTCTCTTAACTGTTTGTATTGTTTCAAGTTTAAAGTATATTGGGTATTTTCCTCGAATTTTATATGTTGGTGTAAATTTGTGAATATGTAGTTTCATTGAGTATGAGTATAGAATATGGCTACAGCTTCATCTACAGATTTGGTACTAAATAATTTCTCCCATTCTATGTCTAAAAGAGTATTATTTATGGAAGTATAGTCAGCTTTATTAAAGTTGTAAAGGCATCGGCTCTGGTGCATTAATGGCTTAGGTAAAACATGCTTAAAACAAAATGTAATTGCAGGATGGTGATTATCCTCAGGAACCAATATGTCAACCGAATTCGAAATATTATATATTGAACATTCGCAAATACAGTGAAGGGTAATTTCACTGTATTCCTATTGATTTCTTTTCTTTGCTATATGGTTTTTTGTGTTTAAGCTTACAAATAAACTTGATTATTTTTCAGGCAATTGTTGCTAAATAGAGAACTCAAACTCGAAGATGGTTGTCACTATTCATATCAAGTCGAAAACAGTGTTCATAAGTCGTCTTGCATTGAGATGTATTATCAATGCGGTCTGCAATCGAAAGAGGATAACATAAAGTTAGAATTGTTTGCTCAAATAATTCAGGAGCCTTGTTTTAACATTTTACGTACTAAGGTAAGCCTTTTTCTTCTGTAGAAAATTTGTTTGAAACAAAATAGGAAACGTTCATGCGCTGCAAATGAAATCCGTCTTTTCTAAAATCTTTTATTTTCATTTATTTTTACAGGAGCAATTAGGTTACATAGTATTCAGCGGTATAAGACGGTCTAACGGTGTTCAGGGACTTAGAATAATTGTACAGTCTGACAGACATCCTAATTATTTAGATACTAGGATAGAAGAATTTTTAGAAAGCATGTTGGTAAGTTTTGCACTGATTCGAATGTATTTTTCTTCATTTGAGAAGAGCCTGAGACAACCATTCAAGTTTCTCAACGTCATTATTTTTACGTGAGGATTTTTCTCAAACATAATTGGATCCACTGTTTTTTTTTTCAGGCGTATATAACGGAAATGAGCGAGGAAGAATTCTTGCGCCATCGCGAGGCTTTGGCGCGTCATAGGTTAGAGAAACCTAAGCAACTCGCTACTCTGACTAACAGATTTTGGTCGGAAATTACCAGTCAACAGTATCACTTTGATAGAGCCAACGTGGAGGTTGCGTATCTGAAGACTTTAACAAAGAATGACATTATTAAATTTTATAAGGTAAGTGAAACTAATGGGCGATTTTTTTGCTAGTATCTTTTTGGCAACAGTTTTTGACAGATGACGCGTGAATCGTGTCTTGTGTCATTGTCAGACTTGTTCAGTTTGGTCTATAATTTAACCATGAATCGACTTACGAACGAACAACGCTTGCAAATTATTGAATTTTACTATCAAAATTCATGCTCGGTTAAGAGAGTGCATCGAGCACTGCTTCCAATTTATGGGCAATTTGGTCGGCCTACTGAGGGAGCTATTCGGAAGCTTGTGACTAAATTTCTAACCCAGTTTACATTATTGGATATTAAACCACCAACACGCAGACGTAGAGTGAGGACTGAAGAAAATATTGCGGCTGTATCCGCCAGTGTTAGTGATGACCGTGAAATGTCGATTCGCCGCCGTTCGCAGCAATTGGGCCTCTGTTACTACACTATGTATACAGGGTTATCCAAATTAAGTGTCCACCATTAGTAACTTTGTTATTAGTGAAAATACAAAGTTGTTTGAATTAGCAAACTAGTAGCATTTTTAACGCTGGTAAAAATGAGAAATAAGAAAAAACAATTGAGAGTCATTTTGATTTTTTTCAGTAAAATAACATTTTTTTAAATGGAAACCCCTGTATATTATATTTTTTTCTGTTAAAGCATCAAATTTTAAACAAAAAAGCTTACAATAACTTTTCTCCTAGGTTACAAATTGTTGAAGTTATGGCCTCCAATCTGAAACAATTAAATTGTATCGACAAACTTTATTTTCAACATCAACTTATAATCTTACAAAATACAATAACAATTTTTTTTAAAGAAGATGCTCGAAAACACCACCTTGTTCTTCAATACATTTTTGGGCACGTTTTTCAACTGCTCGAACTGTCTTAAGTATGGTCCTACCATCTATCTGGGTTATCTTTTCCCTAACTGCAGTCTTTAACGCGTCAAGGTTATCGTACCTTCGCTTGTAAATTTGGTTCTTTAAGTAACCCCACAAGAAGTAATCAAGTGGGTTTAGATCTGGTGATCTGGGAGGCCACTGTATTGGGCCATTTGTTCCTATCCACTGATCATTAAAAGTAGTACTTAGAAAATGATAAGTACCTCTGGAGTTGTGGGCAGGTGCGCCATCTTGCTGAAAATGCAGATGATGTCTACTTATAAGATCCAATTCGTCTAAGAAATTAGTCAGAATTTCTGACATAAATTCCACATATCTTTCACCAGTTAGGGTTCCCTCATAAAAGAACGGGCCAACAATTTTTGAACCAATTATACCGCACCAAACGTTGAAACTGAAACGGACTTGTGGGCCTCTTGGATGTACTAACAACAGATTTTCTCTTGACCAATAATGGTGGTTTTTTCTATTAAACATTCCAGAATTTGAAAAATTTGATTCATCTGTCCATAAAAGGTAACGAAAGTTATTTACATTTTGGCGACAGAAGCTAAGATACCAATGGCAAAAAACAAGTCTTCTCTCTGGATCCCCTGCCAAAAGCGTTTGAACTGGTCGGTACTTATACGGAATAAATTTGTATTTTTTTAAAATCCTTTGAACAGTACCATAACTGAAATTAGAGTCCTTGAGAATATCTGCTATTGAATTCTCACGATAAGCTTCAAAATATCCAATAACTGCAATTTCCGTGGCCTCGCTTATTATGAATTCTTTTTTTGCCCTTGTTTTAGCAAAAACATTTTCGTTGCCCCTAAATTTTCGATAAAGTCTCAGAAAATATCGTTCATACGGTTGAATGCGAGCGGGATATAATTCATATTCTCTTGCTCTCAAGGAGGATTTTCTGCACACTAAATAGTATTCTAACATATCACACTTTTCTTCATGGGAGAACATTTTTCTTTAAATTAATGACACAATAAAGCTTATAAACAAGTATTTACACTAATGTTTGACATTATTTGATTTTATCATTGTTTTCCAAAGCCTTCTAGTTGCGAGTATGTCCAGTTTAACAATTTGTCGCTTATCTTAATGCTGTCAAATCGCGAACGCCATGTTGTTTTCATAGCCGTCTTAATATTATAATACTGCAAATAATTAAAAATATTTATCGTTATTTTGACTTTATTTTTGACTTTAGCGGAAAAGTCATTATGAACTTTTTTGTTTAAAATTTGATGCTTTAACAGAAAAAAATATAATATACAGGGGTTTCCATTTAAAAAAATGTTATTTTACTGAAAAAAATCAAAATAACGACTCTCAATTGTTTTTTTTTATTTCTCATTTTTACCAGCGTTAAAAATGCTACTAGTTTGCTAATTCAAACAACTTTGTATTTTCACTAATAACAAAGTTACTAATGGTGGACACTTAATTTGGATAACCCTGTATACGTGGAAAATTTTGTGACACGATTTGGGTGTAAAACCTTATAAGATACAGCTGGTGCAAGAATTGAAGCCACACGACCTCCCACAACGTTTCCAATTTGGTGAATGGGCGCTGGCGAAGTTGGAGGAAGATCCACATTTTTATCGAAAAATTGTGTTCAGCGACGAAGCTCATTTCTGGTTGAATGGGTACGTTAACAAGCAACATTGCCGCATCTAGAGTGAATACCAGCCAGAAGTATTGCAAGAGCTACCAATGCATCCCGAAAAATCACTGTTTGGTGTGGATTATGGGCCGGTGGCATCATCGGGCCGTACTTCTTCAAAGACGACAATGGCCGGAACGTAACTGTGAATGGCGAGCGCTACCGTGCGATGATAACAAACTTTTTTTTGCCCAAAATGGAAGAGCTGGACTTGACTGACATGTGGTTTCAACAAGACGGTGCCAAATGCCACACCGCACACGAAACAATGGCCCTATTGAGAGGCGAGTTCGGTGAACAGTTTATCTCACGTTTGGGGCCCGTCAATTGGCCGCCTAGATCGTGAGATTTAACGCCGTTGGACTATTTCTTGTGGGGCCATGTTAAGGCTAAAGTCTACACAGATAAACCAGCAACGATTGACGCACTGGAAGACAATATTGAAGCATTTATTCGTGAGATACCGGCCGATATGTTGGAGAGAGTGTGCCGAAATTGGACCTTGCGCATGGGCCATCTAAAGCGGAGCCGCGGCCAACATTTACATAAAATAATCTTTAAACATTAAACTATATCGACCGTTCTATCGACTCAAATAAAGATTTAATCGTTTTTTCAAATTTATTGTGTTTTTTTTTAAATAAAATCCTATACCTCTTAAAAAATCACCCGTTAATATTAACTGCCTTCGTTTTAGAACTCTTCATATCGTCAGCTTACTAAAAAAACAACTGAATTTTTCCACTTAGTTGAGCACATTTTACGCTCATGCCTATTGTGGATAAAATGGTTTAAACTGTATCCATCGAAGAAACAAAGTAAAATCAAACATATACACCCGTATTGCACGTGATCAAGAACTTAACCGTAGGAGACGCTACAGGGCCGTATCAAGCTATTGTGACTGATCTATCAAAAAATGTCGTACAAGATATGTGTTGCTGTAAATTCTATCAAAAGCATAGTAAATTATCAGGAATATACCACGCCTTTCTAATCATATTTCGACATTAGGAATCAGTGCAAAAAATTCTGTATTCACCATTTCAGCAAAATGTTACTAAAACGCACACGAAAAAAACTTGTGGACCATCTCAATTGAAATTGTTCATATTTTATTATTAACTTACATATATACCCAATAATATTTACAGATCAACCTGCTATTCACAATGCAGAGCAAATTTTTTTGAGCAAATAGAAACTACAGACGTAGTAGTAGTAGTACAAAAGTTTATTACAGACTCCATAAAGTTTGTTAGTTTGATTGCTATTAAAATTTACATGAGAAATAGGAAGAAGGTCAAAATGGCACTATTATGCTTTGGAACTCCTAAATTAACCCTAATTTTGTGTAATTATAAATTTGGAATTTCCACATTAATAACTAGAAACTTACACTTTGATTGCAGTCTATAATGAACTTACCTGTCTTGCCAAAAAGCCCGTTAAACTGCCAGTCTTAATGGTATCAATCGATTTATATGCTGTATTCCGAGGAGCTTGAATCATCAGAATTGTTGATGTCAATTATAAGGGGTTCAACTTGGGTGTCAATGATATTGTCCATATCCCACATTTTGGTTTCAACCTTCTCTTGGACATGGTCAATACATGTTCTCCATTTTGCTGGCGTAATTCTATCGACAGCAACATCAAACAGTTTTTTAAGGTCAGAAAACTTAAAAGTGCTGTTATTTGACGCCACGTATTGCTTGATGTCGGCCCAAATCAACTCGATAGGATTCAGTTCGCAGTGATAGGGAGGCAGCCTGAGAATCGTTTTATTTTGGTTTTTGGCCATTTCGTCAACAATTTTTAAATCATATTTATACTTATGTCGCTTGACTATATTTATCAGCTCAGCTTTGACCATTGTTTGGTCGAAGTCGATCTTTGAGACAAGCCACTGTTGAATGTCTGCCTTTTTGGTGGCCATTGTTGGAATTTTTTCCAATTTTCTGGAGTGGTACGGGGCATTATCCATCACAATAATTGCTATCTATGTGGCAAATGATCAGGCGTTTTCCCTTGCCTGAAAGTAATTAGTAATTTTTCTTCTCAGCGAGGGCATTAAATGACGAAATTAAGCAACTTACTCTTTTTAGGTTAGTGTAGGATAGGGTCTTAGATTAGTTTTTGGGTGAAGGAAATACTCAGAAACTTGGATGAGATAGCAAAACTGAGTTCGATCAGAAAATGAATTATCTGCATCCAAAAAGTTCATATACTTCGAAACTTACCTGCAGGATTTTTCAATCCCGTCGAAAGGCCATCTAAAAAAGCCTGCCTTGAGGACCTCACAGATCTGTCTACCCAAACCTTTCCCTGCGTATGCCCCGCGTTCACCCATGTTTCGTCTAAATAATAAATTTTTCTCCCTTCAGCGCGGAATTGCCTAATTTTTCTAAGGTATTCTCTCCTCCAGATAACAATTTCCTCCTTTTCTATCAATAAACTATTCCTTCCTCTTTCCAAAAATCGAAAGTCTAGTTCTTTCAACAGCTTATGGAACGTAGATCTTTTAAAATTTAGCAGGTCCTCATCATCATTCACTTGCTTCAATATTTTATCTATTGTTGGTATTTCATTCCTGAAGAAAAAGTGATGTACTTTTCTTCTAATGGCACTTTTGTCAAAGTCATCTATTTTTTCGATGATTTTTTTTCTCGCTGGATATGTTTTTGGCTCAGATAGTGAGTGATTTTGTCTATATTCCTTCAAGATTTTGTAAACACTTGATCGACCTACTCCAGAAATTTCAGCAACCTTACATACGATATTTTCTATAGCCAATCCACTATTCTCTTGCATCTGGTTCTTGTAGATATTTAGAATAATTTGTTTTTCACCTGCGCTAAGATGAAGCTTTTTAGCCCTTTTTCTGGGTGAGGTTAAGCTGATTTCAACCACTTCATAAGCTGTATCTGTGTCAGACATTTTAGACTAATATTAAATTTCCGCAAGAAAAATCAAGTCAAGACGTGCATAAAACGTTCGCGCTCATAAACGGGTATCCGTAACTGATTACAATCCTGTGCGTGGTGACGAACCATCAACGTGACGCTGAGAGTTCCCTCTACTATGCAGCGTTGCCAGGCTTAATGTCACAATGATCATGTTTTATTGGGAAAATTGTCAGAAATCGTCGAATGTTGAACAGAAACATTACAAGAAGTCTAACCTTGAAATGTGAGGCTACAAATCGATATTCTTATAGGGGGGAAGGGTAGGGAGCTGTTATGGTTCCTATTAACCTTGGTGAAAGTTGGAAACGGTAATATCATATATGGCATACATTCGGTTGAAGGTGTGTGCACGGAAAATAGATTGCGGATAGGATTTTAATAGATAAATCTGCACAAAAAAACACAAAAGGAGATTTTTGTATTTCCCTGAAGAATATCTCAAGGTTATTTCAGATGTACTCATCGAAACTTTATGGAAGGATTATCGAAACCTTATTTTCAATTGCGATAGGGCCACATACCTCGACATCGCATTAATGTGAAAAATAAGACAATAGAAAAAAATTCCCTCACTGATGCTATCTCTTAGGAAAAATTTAACTATAAAGATTGCACAAAAATTTTCTTCACCTTTTTGAGCTTGTTTTCGCATCTCCGTATATGCCGTTCATAATTTGCTGCAGATCAAATTGGAATATACCTTTGTGATGCCATTTATTGTTATATAATGTCCTTTACAACAGTTATTGCACGTATTGCACCAACAGATTGGTTTGTGGTCCATGCGAATGTGATCAACCACTCTGGCGAAAACTCGCCGAGCGTGGCAACCGTGCGACTTTGTCTGGAGGCTCGTCGCTACAAGCCAATCAGGAAGAGGCCGACAGAGCGCCATGGCTACCGATCACGCGTTGAACACGAATCAACCACTGTTTACGATTACTTTGTAGCTTCGTTAGATACACTTTAGTTACTGTTTTCTTATAACCTGATTTTGTATTTGAATGAAATTTTCACACCACTATAACCGCCATTTTTAGTCTAGATTAATCGAGTGTTGTCAAATGTTGCCAGTTACTAACTTTGGTTTGAGAGTAATCTGGTTTTTGCAATGACCCACTTCGGGTCGTATAACCAGTATAGATGACTCTGTACCCATTTTTGATGGCCATCTGAATAACGCGATCCATGGCATAGTGGTATTAACGAAATGTCAATAGCATTTTATTGTCTATTGAAAAATGTCAGGACGACTGTTGTTTTCAAAAACAGAAATGTCATGATTTGGTAGCTGTTCAGTGTGTTTAAGTGACGAAACAGTATGTTAATAGAAAACTAGCATTTACGTGTTCTCCCAGCTATCAAGAATCTATAAAACAACTAATGAAAGCTGTGGTGCTATTACTTTTTGGGGAAGTATATTCTCTATCACTGATAGAAGAGTCGCTCCCCGAATCATACTCAGGAGAAAAGTACGGAAGACCTTTCGCCGTTTCTGCAATCCTAATAAAAACCTTTGAATAGTTAAAATCGCACAGCCAACCATCACTTTAATTGTAGAGATGTGCTGAATTTCTATGAGCAGCAATTTGCTATCAGGGCCACAGAAATGTGAGACGGCGAGAAGACCTCCCGTCGTTTCTGCGATCCTAATACAAAATCCTGAAATGTTGAAATCGCATAGCCAGCCATCACTTTCGTTGTGCAGAAGTGTCGAATTTGTATGAGAAGCGATTTGCTATCAGGGTCACAGAAATACGAGACGGTCTGAACAAAGAACTCTAGTTGTGATAAGAGTGGTACCGGCTAGAAGACCTCTCGTCGTTTCTGCAATCCTAATACAAACCTTTGAATAGCCAAAATCGCACATCCAGCCATCACTTTAATTGTGGAGAAGTGTTGGATTTGTATGAGCGGCAATTTGCTATCAGGCCCTCAGAAATGCAAGTCGGTTTGGAAAAGGTACTCTGGTTGTGATAGCAGTGAGACCTCTCACCGTTTCTGCGATCCTAATACAAAATCTTGAAAAGCTGAAATCGCACGTCTACCCACAACTTTCATTGTGTAGAAATGTTGAAAATGTGCAATCAGCGTCGCAGAAATGCGAGAAAGTTTGGAAAGAAGCTATTTTTTTGCTGAAAATTACAAACTTATTCGATGAACATCAAAACATACGTCAAACCCTGTCAGAAAGGTATTAGAACATTTTCTACAAGTCATTCTACTCTCTAGTTTTCATGAATTGACTGACAGAGGAAACTTTGGCGTTGACCGCCTTTTTTTATTAGTTTGCCGAGGTTGATGATCCAGGCTTGGGCCCTTTTGTATATACAAAAAGGCGTCAGGCTGCGGAGCCAACGATTTGTAGCCTACTGAGACAGATGTGGCTTAAGGTTCACATCCTGTATACCTAATTTAGCAATTAAGAAAGCCGTAGTCCGGTCGTCTTGCCTTTTCAATGTACTAACCTGTGAAATGATATACCTGACGTGTTCTGGTATCAACACGTCATCATCAGGGCACAAGGCACCATAATTTTTTTCAATAGCACACGCAAAGAATGTAAATAGTGTACGTAAAAGAAATATTTCGAAAAAACCTGTCAAAGTTGTGCAGAGCATAATCACATGTCTCTTTGACAGATCTGTACTATAAAAATGTTGACCCTACCCCGTGACGTAAATACATTTTGCTATATCTCCGAGAGAATCTTTATGACTGATTGTATTCCAGGACGTACTCGAACACAACGCAGCCTCACGCAAAAAATTGTCAGTCCAAGTGATCTCAACGGCAGAAGGTGGTGCTGGTAGCCAGAAAGAAAAAGAAAAGGAAGATACGCCAGAATGCCACCCCGAGAAGAATGGCCCACGCACCCCTGACGTCATCAGTGACGTCACCGTTTTTAAGAGTAGCCACGAAATGTACCCCTTGGTTCAGCCTTACATCAACATCACCAGAAAGGGCAACAGATGCAAACTGTGATACAAACCGGCATAGATGTGAATTCAGAAGTGGGATAGACAGCGAAACTAGGGGATCGCATTTTCAAACACCCTGTATGCATATAATGCACCTTGTTTCTCTCGTCCCAAACTGTTTTTATTTACTTTTACTGTTATATTTTCTTATATGAAGAGTGTGACGTAGTGAACGATTTTTTAGAATAATAAAATTTTGAATCCTCAGGACGTTTGTTTACTTACACCTCTCTCAATATCAATTTGGAATTAATGTAACAAAAACGCGAGGAAGTATGAAAAATGAAATTAGTTTTGAGATCGGTTATGTCGGCAGGAACACCTAGATTGTTTCTCCGATACTAATACGAAATCGCAAATTCGGCCATCACCTTCATTGTGCAGAGATTTGTATCAGCAGCAATTTGCTATCAGGGTGAAAAATGCGAGGTTTGAGAAAAGTACTCAGTGGGAGGGCCTCTATTCGTTTCTGCGATCCTAATACAAAATCTTGAAAAGTCGAAATCGTATCTCCGGTAACAATAATTGGGTACAAGTGTTGCGTTTGTATCCATCAAGATCACAGAAACGCGACGAGATATGAAAAAAGTACTCTAGTTCTGATATCAATAATACCGGCGGGAAGACCTCTTCTCGTTGCTTCTGCGATCCTAATACGTAATCACAAATTCAGCCATCATTTCGTTGAGTAGAAGTGTCGGATTTGCTATTAGAGTCACAGAAATGCGAGACGGTTTTGACAAAGTACTCTGCTTGTGCTAAGAGTGATACCGCCGTTAATACCGCTCGTTGTTTCGGTAATCCTAATACAAAATCTTGAAAAGTCGAAATCGCACATCCAGACATCACTTTCGTTGTGCAGAAGTGTCAAATTTGTGCAATTTGCTATCAGGGTTACAGAAATGCGAGACGGTTTCGGTTTTGACAAAGTACTCTGGTTGTGATAACAGTGATACCGACGGGAAGACCTCTCATCGTTTCTGCGACCCTAATACAAAATGTTGAAATGCTAAAATCACACATCTAGCCTCAAATTTCATTGTGTCGAAAGAAGTGTTGAAGATGTGGTATCAGGGTCGCAGAAATGCGAGACAGTTTGGAAATAACCTTTTATTTTGCTGAAAATAGATGCATTTACAAAGTCATTTGATAAACATCAAAACAGACGTCAAAATCTGTCAGAAAGGTAATTCTACTCTTTCATCTTCATGAGGAAACTTTGGCGTTGGCCGCCTTTTTCACTAGTTTGCCGAGGCTGATTATACAGGCTTGGGCTCTTTTGGGTACAAAAAAGGCGACAGGGTGCGATCTGTATTGTGTTGACATAGATCTGGCTGAGTTTTCACACCCTGTATACATAATTTATCAATTAAGAACGCCTTAGTTCGTCGTCTTGTCTTTACAATATACTAATATTATACTTCGAAGTTGAGTCATTTATTTTAACAGTGAGTAGATCTGATCAAAAGAAATGTTTTTTTCCTTTACCATTTTTCTGGTAAAATTAAAGTAACAAAGTTATAGCCCTTTGGAAGTTTGAGTACCGCCCTGTCTCAATAATAATATCATGTGCTCGTGTTTGGCAACAACGGATATAATCCGCCTAATCGGTTCATCGCATCGAAAACAAAAAAGCGAAAGAATTTGGAACGATGTTTTTACAATTATTTTATTCAGTTCAGTTGTACATACAGTTAGTGTCAGTCGGTAACGCGTGTGAATAGTGTCTGTTGCGTGGCTCAAACGAAATATAAAAATGGCACATGTTTATGCGGATCGGTTTCCCAATCGAGTGCAACCAACCCCTCGTGCCTTTGTTAATGTAGTACAACGGGCTCGTGAATCAGGTGACTTAAGACCTCACAGGGGACCTCACGATCAAATACAGGTCCGCACTGAAATACTTGTCGGGAGGGTACTTTATAAAACAAGGTAAACATTTTTTTTTATTTTTTTTTTATTTTTACACACATATTTTGGTTTATCTTCCTTCTACAATCATTATCTGAAAATTAATGACTCAACTTCAAAGTCACGCACAAAACACCGATCTAAATAGTGTACGAAAAAGGAATATTTCCAAAGAAGCCTGTCAAAATTGTGCAGAGCATAATCACACGTGCCGTAAATAGATTTTGCTGTCTCTCCTTGAGAATCTATATCAATGGCTGATTGACGCAGCCTCACGCAAAAAGTTGTTAGTCCAAGTGGTCTCAACGGCATGTGGTGCTGGTAGCCAAAAAGAAAAGGAAGAAACGCCAGAATGCCACACGCACTCCTGACGTCATCAGTGACATCGCCGTTTCTTAGAGTAGTCACGAAATGTATCCCTTGGTTCAGCCTTACATCAGCATCACCAGAAAGGGCAACAGATGCAAACTATGTGTGAATTCAGAAGTGGGATAGACAACGAAAGTAGTGGATCGAATTTTGCAACATCCTGTATGCATATAGTCTACATTGTTCCTCTAGTCCTAAGTTGTTTTTATTTACGTAATTTTACTGTTATATTTTCCTATATGAAGAGTGTGACGTAGTGAACGATTTTTTAGAATAATAAAATTTTGAATCCTCAGGACGCTTGAGTACTCACACCTCTCTCAGTCTCAATTTATATGAGAAGCAATTAGCATCAAGGTCAAAGAAATGCGAGAAAGTATGAAATAAGTATGGTTTATCTGAAGTCACTTGAAATAGCATAAAAACCTTTGGTCGGCGCGTCCTTTGTAATTTCGTATCATAGGCGTGCGGTCAATTATTTAGAACGATAATAATAATGTTTTTATATTACAATAAATGGATTTTACTATCTTCTTATTTTTTTGATTTGGGATAAAAATACTTATATTGGGAGTTTAATTTATGTTGACTGAAAGTTAAGAAATGGAAAAATTACAGAATTCCAACGTTTGACATAGGCAAATATTTACATAGCAGGTAGGTATATAAAAAGGTATATAAAGACTTACATTATAGGTATTTATATATCATCCTCGCCTTCGGAGCTGTCGCTAGAGTCATCTTGTAGAGGAATTACAACGGGATTTACAGGAGGCAAAATACAATATTCATTTTCTTTTTCAATAATATGCCTAGAACACTGCTTCCATAGGTCTGTGGCAGCAATATGAGATACTGCATCTCTTATTGTGGCCAATAGCGATTCACTTAATTGAGGGGTCTGATTATGTTTTCTTACTTTTTTTTTAAAGCAGCCCAGACCAACTCAATCGGGTTAAAAATGCAGTAATAGGGAGGTAGACGTCATGGCCATTTTGCTGAAGTAGATTTTTAACAACATACTCTTTTTCAAATTTTTGTCTTTTAATAAGATCCAATAATATGGCTTTGGTTGATTTTTGTGGTATTTCCATTCCCTTATCCTTCATAAAATCAATAATGTCTTGTTTTCTTGTGCCTGTATTCGGAATTTTGTTTTTCTGTCGGGAATGGTATGGTGCATTGTCCATAATAATCACTGAATTTGGGGAAATGTTTGGTATTAACTGCTGCTTTATCCACTTTTGAAATAAGTCGGAGGTCATGTCCTCATGATAGTCGGCACATGATTCTTTGATATTTTTGGCAGATAACAGCAAGTCATAAATCCATTTTCACTGCCAGCATGGAGAATAAAGATTCGTTTTCCACGGTTGCATGGTGCATTTAAAATGCACTTGTTGCTGTCGTCAACCCAGCCGTACTGCACAACATCATGGGTATCATACCACGTTTCATCCAGGTAAATCAGATTTCTTTTCTGCTCTCTATAGATTTTAACTTTGTGCAAAAATTCTTGGCGCAATTCAACGATTCGAGACGACTCCATAATCATCATTCTTTTATCTAATTTTTTGTATTGAAAACCACACAGTTTTACAATACAGTGCAGTGAGTCTAAGCATTTGTAATTATAAAAATCTTCAGGATAATCTTTTAATTTATCCCGTATCATTTCCAACGTGGGCACCAAATTTTCTTTATAAAATCCGTATATTATACGACGAATATCTTCCTGAAAACCCACGTCTATTCTTTTTAATTTTTGCCCTATGCGCTTTCTGTGGAAGGAATGGTTGACTACATCTCCCCTTTTTATAACCCGATAAATAATGGTAGACCGACTGATTTTTGTCAGGATACAAATTCTGTTTAAAATTTGATTTTCCGAGGAATCTGGATTTTCGTTTTTCAGACAATCATACATATTTAGGATTACTCTTTGGGTCTGTTCCTCTAAATCTTTATGAAAGAATTCTGCCTGCACAGGTTCATCAACCATCTCCTCGTGGCTTGGAGCATTTTCCCAAGGTCTCCAAAGAGCCATATTTAGGACACACAAGAACATTCAACACAACAATTAAATCAACAAGTAAACTGAGTATTCAAAAGTCAAAAACACACAAACTAATAAAATCTATGAAAAAACACGGACAGACTAAAGAAAACACGTTTATTCACCGCTACACGGCACTGGCTAAACTGTTTCAATTTTCAGTAGCCACCTGCACTTGTTCCGAGCTCTGAAATACACGCTTTCTCATTGGCTATGTCCACGCATAGGCGTGCTTTACTCCACGTGGACCGGTGAAACTGCCTTTGATCTTATACGGGGGATATTTGCTGCGAAATTTGGCGATTTTTGCGGCAACAGAGCGTGTTAAATATAGATATATAAAACGCACCCGGTATTTCACAGTGTTTCAAGTGACTTCAGATAAAGTATACTCTAGTTCTGATATCGGTTATCCCGGGAGGAACACCTCTGGTTATTTCTCCGAACCGAATAAATCGCAAATTCAGTCATCGGCTTCATTGTGCAGAGGCGTTGAATTTGTATCAGCAGCAATTTGCTATCAGGATGACAAATGCGACAAGGTTTGGAAAAAGCACTCGGTGAAAATCTCACCCAGTCGTCGCTTTCATTGCGTGGAAATGACCAATTTGTATGAGAAACGATTTGCTATTAGGATCACATAAACGCGAGGAGGTATACTCCTGATAATGGCACTGGCGGGTATAGACCCAGCTGATTTATTAACATAGAAATGATCCTATAAACACAGAGTATGGAGTGATTTTGACATACGGAGGAAGGCAATAGTAAAAAAATCGGAATACCTTCAATTTCATTTATTTAACACAACAATTATAAAAATACATCTATAAACACTATGCGTGTATTATATACAACTTTGATAGAATATTTTCAGAAATATACATTACATTCATTACAAATAGTATGCATTACAATACGTACAAAAATGGCTATATCTTAGACAGTAGCCCGTTAAAAGCAAATGGTGTGGTGCGACAATAATTTGCAAATCTCTGATTGTACAGTGCCACACCGACATGCCATAATAAAGACAAAACAGCTACGACTCCGAGTGGCCTATTGTAAACATAACTTTTTTACAGAATTATTTTAAAGGATACATAAAATTGTTCCTCCTTGATTAAACTTTACATTTTTTTAAGACACACCTTTTTGCGTTATTAGCATTAACGATAAATTATTTCAATATCTTTGCTTTATACAATTTAATAATTTTACCGCAGTACACCCACCTATACAAATATTCAAACCTAAAATATTTATATACATACAATTCATTTAAAATAAATAATAAAACTACATATCTTCAACACTCATATATTTTAAAGTGTATTGTATGGTATGTCAAAGAAATATATAAATATGGTAAAAATTCAATATATTGCAACAATATAATCTTCCATAATATCGTACAACAAGAGTTTTAAATTATATAAGCGACAAATATAAATGGAAACAAGAAATGTTGGTCAAACATCCCTTCTCTTCACATGTTACCTTTTTAGTTCTAAACTGCTAGAACCAACAATATCCTCAAGTTACAAATCGGGCACACATTCACACACATGAAACACCTCTTGGACTCACGGAAGCCTCAAAAATACCCACAAAAACCCCCTTATTAACTGCCCAACCGACTCTGATATTGAGTATTCCGTTAAAGATAGCACCTCATTTCATCCTGTTCAAAACAAGGTCCGCAGTGACAATGAGGCCTTTTTGGAATGGGCTCTCCTCGAGCATGTTCGCCAATCGTACGGCCTCCTGGCAGTGTTGTTTGGCCAAAAACTGCGTTTGCTGCAGCCCGTTGGATTTGTGGACCAGCTGAAAGGCGCGTTCCACGTCGCCCGGTTCTTGAAAACGGCGCATTATCATCGGGTTTAGCTCTGGGTACTGAAAAGAAATTTGAATAGCAACTTACGAAGGTCATTTTTTAATATGTTTTTTGATATATCACGTTTACATCGCGAAAACCATATCGCTAGGTCTGTCTTCATGCGGGGATTTTATAACCGCCTATAACTTGAGAAGTACCGCTCGGATTTTGATGAAATTAGGCCAAGGACAAAAAGACAATGTAGTTTTTGAAAATCGGTTCAGTACCGGTGGAGAGAAAGGCCAGAAACGAAAAAATAAAAATCGCTCAAACTTTTTGAACACCTGCATATTTCCATTTAAAATTATAACAAACAAAAAGAATATTCAGTATGTGTTTATTTTTTATTTCTTTATTAAAAACCGTTACCATTGAAATCAAGCATTACTGAAAGGTCATTGGAAGCAAAATTTTGATCACACTATCATTAGCCAAAAAATGCAAATTAATAGAGTGCCCAACATAAAATACCTTGGAGTGGTCTTGGATCCTCACTTACGATGGGACATCCATGTCAATTATATTTTAAAGAAAGTTAGATTTGTATCCTACAAAATTAAATACCTTGGGAATATATTGACAGAAAAATATCTTCGAACATTATACCATGCACTGATTGAGCCTCATCTCACATATGGTATATTAGCATGGGGAGCTGCATGTTCCTCACATATCTATAATTTAGATGTTTTTCAAAAAGTATTCTAAAAATGATATTTAAAAAACCGAAACTTTATCCCACTGACAAATTATACGCAGATGTTCGAATGTATGATATAAGACAGCTTTATTTCTTACACAGTATCACTCACTACCATAAATTTGTAAACACCGACCAAAAAATTAAACATAATCATTATACAAGGTACAAAATTCGTGGCACATTAGTTCCTCAACCGCATAAATCTATAATGCAGCGATCATATCTCTATTTAGCGCCTAAATTTTATGAAATTATACCTAAAGACTTAAAAGATTTACGTTTCGGAAATTGTTTTAAAAGAAATTTAAAAAAATGGCTACATTCTATATCTAGGACTGAAATTCATAAACTCATAAATACGAACATGAACTAAATACATAATCTACTGTAGCTAATTTTTGTCCTTTTTTGTCATTTGCATTCTACAGTTTCAACTTAAATTATTGGTCCATGTACAGGCGATGCCTTCTGTTGGGCCTGTTTTGATTTTATATTTATTTACTCATATTGTTTGTTATCTTTGTACATTGAGTGAATAAATATTTTATTATTATTATTATTATTAATAGGAATTTCTTTGAGTTTAGATTATTGTTGTTTTTGTATAGGAATTCTTTCTCAGGATTTGTTTTTTGATTTTTTTAACTTGTACGTAAACCCATAACACAGTTATAGTTCAAGATTGTTCAACAAGTGCGTTTTCGTTTAGTTTCTTTTTTGGACAAAATGGGTAAAACTGAAGCTTATTCCGAGGGCATAAAAAGAATTATAATTGGTCTTCATAAATCCGACAAAAGTATCCGAGAGATTTCTAAACTTCAGAAGGTAACACTGTCATCTGAACACTACATTATTAAGAAATTTAAGGCTCAAGGCACAACATCCAATAGTTGTCGTTCGGGGAGACTCAAAGTTACAACTTTCACTTTCATAATAGCGAAAAGTAAATGAAGGGTACCGGGGAAAAACGGCATTAGCCCATTATTTGGTTAAATTGAGCTTTCAGTTTATTTTGGTGGCATTTTTCTGATGCTATCTTGTAATCAGCTTCTTAAATTGTAAAAAGGGCTTAGGTCCACAGAATAACAGCTATAAGATGGAAAAATGGCATGAGTCTCTGCGCGTGTATGGAAAAACGGCATCAGTCCATATGGAAAGGCGGCGTTGCTTGGGCGCTTCGTTATTGCATCAGTCATTAGTTTACTATTAGAGTCCACGTGTGTTGTATACGCTGATATTTTGAATATTGACTATATTCGCTAATTTAGTTTATAATACGGGTTTTGTGTATAATGGATAGTGAAAATGAACCAGGCCCATCAAACAGAGAAACGAAAAAACGCAAAAAAACAGGAAGACAAAGAGACGTAATGAAAACGTTGCGCGCCACTACCCACGAACTTGGATCTGATTGTTTTTGTGAACGTTTTCGCTGTTCCTGAACCTGAACGCTGTAGACTTCTTCGTGAATTTAATGAACTAGGAAACCCTAATACACAAAACGCTTATCTTAGTGGTCTTATCGCTGTTCTTCCTGTCATGCGTAGACACCCTCGAAAAAATGAAGCAGAGTCAAGGCATAATGCGATTGGTTGAAAATGGAATTATAAGTGGTGTTCCAGTTTGTCTTAAGGCTTTTTTGTCTTTACACGTAATTACAGTTCGTCGAGTACATAAGAGACTCATTAGTTGCAACTGGGAAATCGCCCATCGACATGCGTGGAAAACACAACACAAACTTTCAGAAAACACAAAACAGAAAGTGACCGAGTTTATTAAGAGCCTCAAATCTCATTATTGTTTAACAGATTCGCAAAAAGTTTACCTTACTGAAAATTAAATATCGCAAAATTACACAAAATGTATTCTACTGCCAATGTTGAAAACAAGATTTCCTATGAATCCTTCCGAGAAATCTTTGAAAACAACTTCAATATATCGTTCGGTTATCCACAAAAAGATACTTGTAGTACGTGTGATTCCATAAAAGCTGATATATCTTCACTTACCGCTACCTTAAATTGACACACGGAACAAACTAGGCAGTCAGCAAGTAATAATTTGGAGAAAAAGATACTTGAGAAGACACTAGATCAAAAAAGGAGTGAGCGATTGCCATTTTCAGTGACTCCTGTGCAGGGCAAAATAAAAACTTTACAGTTATTCGGTTTTTGCATTACTTGGTTACGTTTTACTACTGTGAAAGTAATATTCCTGATCAGGGGGTATTCATACCTCGAGTGTGATAGAGATATGAGTCTCGTGAACCAAAGAGCATACACTGGAGAGATGAATTGACAAATTGCCGTGGGAAACCTACACCCTTTGAAGTCATTGATTGTGGCAAAAATTTTGATTTTCAAGAGTGGTGTACGTTTTTATCGCCGTTTTATCCAATGAAGTGCCCCTTTCCAACCCGACCAGTCAGGATCCTCAAGTTTTATAAACGGAATCCTCGCGTAGTTTTTCACAAATCGATATACATGGGCCTATATGCTAGTTCTAAATTTGATAAGGTAATTCGGAAGAATCTAAAAAAGACGCAAAAAGATCAACGAAAACGAGAAGAGGAAACATTGAGAAAACTTTACCAGGGCCCAATCTCAATTAAAAGTAATAAATGGAAGGATCTGCAGGATATGAATAAATTTCTAGAGAGAGCAGATTCCAGGGCATTTAATCAACAGAAAAGTGGCACGAGTCCAGAATTGAACATCATCTGTTGTTTGTTACGTTACTAGTTTTGAGTAAAAGTTCATTTTGTAAAATCTATTTTACCAATAAACATACTGTTTAGCAAAGATATTCTTTACGACTTATTTTTTCACCAGTTTACTTTCCAACAAGTGAGTGAACCTTAATTACCGATTTTCTCAAAATCAGTCCAGTTGGACTATTGTCGTTATTACCCGGTACCCTTCAAATCCAACAGACGTATGACTGCACCCGAAATAGCAGCGGACTTGAATGTGGGCTGTAGTAGACCTGTAAGTGTGACTACAGTTCAGAGAAGGTTACTTGAAGCTGGACTTGAGGGATGTATAGCAGTATTGAAACCACTCCTCAGGACTACTAACAAACTAAAAAAAAAAGACTGAATTGGCCCAAACAACATCAGAATTGGACACTTGCTGACTGGGATGAATCGAAATTTGAAGTTTTTGATTTTTAATGAGAGGGCATTGGAATCATGCAATGTCGCTTCAGTCAAGCACGGTGGAGGCTTTGTAATGATTTGGGGATGTTTTGGTACTGAATAAAGAAGGTTACAAAGTCATACTACAAAATTATGTTGTGCCTTCTGGGACTCTTTTATTGGTCCCGGATTTGTCTTTCAGCATGGTAATGACCCCTATTTTTGGAAGCAAAACAAGAACAAAATATTTTGAAACTCATGCAATGGCCTCCCGATCCCCGGATTTGCTGTGCGATGAACTGGAAATGTCCTACATCTCAAGAACACCTATGGAGAATGTCGCAAGACCAATGACAAAAAATGACCCTTTCCATTTTCGAAAAATCAGTTGCGCCTTTACCCATCATTTGCCAGGCTGTAATTAAGAGGACATATTGAGTCAAAAATATAGTAGTAGTAGAAAGATTTATTTAGCACATTTGGCTACATAAACAGAACAATTGTAAACAACTTATAACTAGTAAATTCAAGCCATATGGTGTATGATGTAAATGCTGGGCAACCTATAAGTGTAGATTTAACAAGTGATTTCTCAATTTTACTTTAAATTTTGTCAAAGTTTTCTGGTCTTTTATTTCCGAGTATAATTTATTATATTCAATCAACCCTTGATGGAATACAGATTTGTAGCATATGTTATACTTTTTGGTCATTAAATGGAAGTCATCTTTATTTCTGGTATTATGTAAATGATGGTCGACATTTGATGATGTTAAATTAGTTAGACTTGATGGAAATATATTATTTTTTACTTTATAAATGAATATCATTACAAGATATTTGATAAAATATTTTACATTGAGCCATTTTAATTTGCTAAGCATTTGCCTAATTGGAGTATATTTATCTTTATTTAGTATTATTCTCATGCACTTATTTTGTAAAATTTGAAGTCTTTCAAAAATGGAATTATTTGCTAAATATAGAATAGTCGAACAGTACAAGAAATTTGGAAGAATGATGGTATTATAGATAATTTTTCTGCTATATGAACTCAGACATCCAGAAACTCTCGATAAATATCCCACTTTACTACTAATCTTATTTATAACTTTTTCATAATGAATATCAAAAATTAATCGAGAGTCAGCAAAAACTCCCAGGTATTTAAAATTTTCTACGAATTCAATATCTTCACCATCAATATTCAGTTGAACATTTGTACATTGTTTTTTTCCGATTAACAAGGCTTTCGTTTTACTTGCATTTAAGTTTAGTCTGTTAGATGCTAACCATTTTGAGACAAGCTTCAAGTCTTCATTTATATAAGAGATACCAGACTGAATATTTTTAGTACTTATATAAATCATAGTGTCATCGGCGAAAATTTGAATTTTGCATTTTTTGACTATGGCAGGTAAATCATTTATGTATAAAATAAAAATGATTACTTTTATTATAATAATATAATTCCTTTAATATCATTATAATAATATAATTCCTTTAATAACGTTCATCAGTTTCCTTGTTTTCTGGATGTTCAAATTTACTTTTGAACGGTAGTGTACATACCTTTTCGCAGGCGAACAGCACTGGTGCCGTCGCAAGTCCCAGTTTCAAATCCGCTGCAGTTGGTTTGCCCATTGTATCAGACGAAGAAACGAAGTCCAACAGGTCGTCCACCAGTTGGAAAGCCAACCCTAGGTTCCGTCCATACTGGTACGCTATGTCTGTGATTTTCTCGTCGGCACCTGCTAGCACGGAAACCTGAAAAGTCAATAACAGTCAATTATTGGGATTTTTAACGAAGGGTATCAGTCCTGTTGGACTTCATGGCTCTATGGGAAAAAATAAGGAAAACCTTCAGATGGATTAATTTCTGCTAATCTACCAGAATATGCTCAATCGTATGCGTTGGATGCAGGTTCACGTACCATTTCGAACATCAGAGCCATGTCGCCACGTATCAATGCCCTTACAGTAATAAAAATATATCTTGCTTTCCTTTTAAAGAAAACTGTACTTGACAGCAACCTTGTAATTATTCCTAACATTTTGTATTCTCAGAATTCCTCAATGATGGGAATGGAAATCCGACAACCGCGGCAACAGTGGAAACTCTGGAACTTAAAGGGTACTGTTGCGTCTTGTAGAACTTCGAATTTCGCTGTTTTTTCACTTGAAACTTAAAGAGGGTAGTCCGATAGATTTGTTAAAAGAAAAAAAGTGTGGATGACGCACGCTTGTCTAGAACATTTTTTCCACAAAACACGGTATTTTTAGCAGTTATTTTCATCATTATTTCCACCGCCGTCTGCCATATGACGTTGACGTCTGTGCATATGTCATGTATGAGAGGCGATTGCCTGCGGTGTTGCCGGATTGGCCTCTGCATTTAGGGAAAAATATTAAAAGTGGAAAATCAGGGTCTCCGCAAAGTTGGGGTTTTCCTTTTCAGAAACAACTACCCTTGAAATAACAAAAGTGATGTGTAGTGAAACGAGGGCGACCAAGTAAAAAAAATAAAGGAAAAAGTACTCACTCTCCAGTTGACGAGAAGGGCTAAGTACGTCTCTGCCCGAAATCATACCGCTCCAACAGAAAATGAAATCAGCTGATGCGCTACCGAGCAGACGCAGGCGGTGGTGCAGACCACGAACAGAGGTAACAAATATGACGGCGTTGCCGCGTTTTCAGTTTTTAGGTAAACGTACTTTATAGGTATTGTTCGAAGTTATCGCCGTTTGATTCAAAAACACAGGTGCGTGCACGACGTAGCCAAGCATCGGTGCAGGCTTTGAGAATGGAGTCGCTCCCCCGAATGAAAGCAGCAGCTTGTTCAATTCTGAGACGAAGTTCGTCAACCGTATGCACTTCAGTTTTGTACACTAAGCGTTTCATTTCTCCCCAAACAAAAAAATCACATGGTGTTAAGTCTGGAGATCGCGGAGGCCACGCTACGGGTCCATTACGTCCGATCCACCTATTCGGAAATAATTCATTCAAAAACTCACGCACTTCGCGTCTAAAATGGGGCGGTGCACCATCGTGCAGAAACCACATTGATTGTCTTACACTTAATGGCACATCTTCTAACAAGGAAGGCAAAATGTTGCGTAAAAAGTCTAGGTATTGCATCCCGTCCAATCGATTTGGGAGAATAAATGGTCCAATGAGCATACCGTTCACCATGCCAGCCCAAACATTCACCGAAAATGTTTGTTGAAAATGTGCCCGACGGACAGCGTGCGGATTTTCTACTGACCAAACATGAGTGTTGCGAAAGTTATTCACCCCATTACGCGTGAATGTAGATTCGTCTGTCACCAATATGCACTTCAAAAAGTCCGGATTATTGTCATGTTGATGCAACAACCACTCACAAAACCGCACTCTTGCTGGAAAATCGTCAGGTTGAAGGGCTTGTACGCGTTGGACGTGAAACGGATACAGCCCCTCTTCACGCAGCGTTCGCCACACTTTAGTTTTTGATACTTGCACTTCTCTAGCCACGTCTCTAGTGCTTATTGAGGGATTCTCGTCTACGCGATTACCTCTACACGCGTGACCGTAACCGTCGGTTGAAGGTTGCATACTGACCTGACACACTGACCCCGACCCAGTTCTGTCGTCGGGTTGAGCCAGTGACCTTGTACCACTCGGTGATGTCGCGAGTCGCGGCTACAGGACGGTATTCAGATATTTTTGATGTTGCAGAGCCCTTTATCTCGGTTCCCTTAAGACATTGGTGTATATGGTAGTAAGAAAAATTATGTTTTCAAGATCTACACGTCGTGTAAAGGAAAACTCCAACTTTGCGGCCACCCTGTATAAATTAATGAAATACAAAAACGAAAAACTGAAACAAATAACAGTAGCAAAATAAAATGCGATTCTTAATAAGTATAAAACAAAAAATAACGATAGTAAGCTAAAAAACAATAAATTTTCAATACTTATAAAAAATAAAAACAGTAGTAAAACAAAAAAAAACTATTCCACATAATTATAAAAAACAAATAAAAAACACTAAAATAAAAAGCATTTTTTTTTTAATTAAACGGAACTGTTTTTCATTTTACTACTGTTTTTACTTTTTGTTTTTTGTCGTCATTTAGAATAGCTTTTTATTTTACTGTTTGTAATTTTTTGTTTTTTATAATTCCATGGTATTGTTTTTTTTACTGTACCACTGTTTTTATTTTTGATTTTCATAATTATTTAAAATTTATTGTGTTTTAGCTTACTACTGTTATTTTTTGTTTTATACTTATTAAGAACCGCTTTTTATTTGGCTATTGTTGTTTGCTCCAGTTTTTCCTTTTTGTGTTTCATTGATTAATATAAATATATATTGATTTTCCACTTTTCAGTTTCCCTAAATGCGGAGCCCAATCCGGCAACACCGCAGGCAAGCGCCTCTCATATATGACATATGCACAGTCGTCAACGTCGTCATGTGGCAGACAGCGGTGTAAATAATGCTGGAAATAACTGCTAAAAATACGTGTTTTGGGAAAAGATGCATGAAAAGCGGGCTTCATCCACACTTTTTTTATTTAAAATAATCTATCAGACTACCCTCTAGAACTTTCAAGTGAAAAAGCAGTGAAATCAGAAGTTCTACAAGACGCAACAGTACCACTTAAAGAAGGTGATCGCCTGGTAAATACATACTTGTAAGCATAAGTGGTTAGTCGTCCAACAGTACATATGCTTGTTTTCGCGCAGAAATATATCTCAACGTCGCATTGTTATATTATTATTCCTTATATGTCAAATAAATTTATTGCTTTATCCGTAAAATGCTGGGAATATAAATTAAAACTTACCGCTTTGAGAGAATTGGCTTTCAGCGAGGCCGTTTTCCTATATGTTTTGGTGAGATAGTGAGCAAATCGTTCGTTTTCCGTCTCCTTGGCTCCTAATTGCATGAACTCGCCTTGGACTAGATCCGTTACTACCTGCAAGAAAAAAAAGTTGGAAATCAGTCACTTTAAAACTGCAAAAAAAAATATATCCACCATTTACGAAAACTGCATAATTTAGATTCAAATAGAAATTTAAAAAATAATTTAATCATAATATAGATGGCACTCGCGGTACTAATACATATTTATGTTTTACGAATATCAACACCTAATCGCAATTCACCAATAGTTGGAACTACCTTCAGTTTTACTATTACAGTATAGATGGCGCTCATAGTACGCAAATACGTCAAATGAGTCCCGACACCTATAGTCAACGCCAAACAAAGTGGCGTGCACGTCATCACGATAAAAATTCCCCGACCTAATGCCTAGGTTTCTATCACAAACAATTGCTCTATTGCAGTTTCATATTAATGTGATATATAAATTGTAAAATGGTCATTACTCTCTTATTATGGTTAATAGTCATATAAACATTGTTATTAAAATATCACATAAGTTGCTTTCTGATAAATTTAGACGCATTATGCGAAATAAAATGTTTTGCAAACGCTCCAATCACTTATCGACATGTAAACGCACTAAACCGATTTCGCAGCGTTGACACATTGTCACCTTGAAACTTATTTAAACTGGGAACTGACATTTGTATTAATTTTGACACTGAATCAATTTGTGGCATTTCAAATCTTTATAAATCCTTTGGCCCCGCATACTGTAAATCAACAACTGTTTGTTTCAAAACAAAATTATTCATTTTACGAGTAGATAAAGGCAATTTTGGTATATAAAGATGCCCAAACAGTTAAATAGTCGGTGTAAGGAACTCGTGGCCTCGTTAATGCACTACTTTGAGCAAGAAAGGGACAACAACGGGCCTTTGTTGCCTTTAAATGCTGTTCAAGAGGTAGGTTACTAATAATTATATGTAATGTATATTAATAATAGTGAAATTTTATTTCATTTTTTGTAGCGTGTTGCTGCTGCTTTAAAAATTAGTTTAAGGACAGTTAGTCGTATTTCCGAGGGTGTGAAAAGTGATGCAAATTTAGAATCGCCCAAGAAAAAGCGGAGTTATATTAAACGTGTAACCAACACAGCGACATTGAATACAAGTGCCATTCGAGAAGTGATCTATAATATGTATCACAAAAGTAAGATCTTATTATAATAACTTATCAGAAATTTGCATTAATTTGTTAACTAAATTATAATGTCATATTACACATCGTTTCAGAAGAACAAGTTACGATACAAACTTTATGGTCTCGATTAAGAGATAGGGCATTATTTGATGGTAGTGCTACGTCTTTAAGGCGGTTGCTTAGAGATCTTGGATTTAAGTGGCTTAAGGACAATCCGCGACGAGGGCTCATGGAACTACCAAGTATAGCTTTGAAAAGGGTGGAATTTCTAAGGCAATACAATCAAGCCAAGGTTGAGGCCTTATACCAGTTTGTCTTCCTCGATGAAACTTGGATATTTCAAAATGGGACCATAGGTCGCTCTTGGCAAAATGGAGACCAAAAAAGCGTGAAAGCTATTAAAACAGATGGTAAAAGGTATGTACTTTTACACAATTTGCACTATAAAATTTAAAACTAATATATTTTAGATACATTATATTACATGCTGGAAATAAAAATGGGTTTATTGAGGGTAGTGAAGCGATATTTTCTTCGAAAATAAAATTGAGCGATTACCATGGAGAGATGAACCAGGACAATTTTTTGAAATGGTTTCAACATCAGTTATTAGAAAAATTGGAGAGTCCATCTATGATTATACTGGATAACGCCCCTTATCACAGCATGATATTGAACAAAGTGCCCAACAATGCATGGACAAAAAAAAATATCCAAGACTGGTTGACAAATCAAAACATACCATTTTTAAACACAATGTTTAAAACAGCTATTGAGTATTGTTGCTCGGTACATAATGCTTCTTAATTATATATATTTTGGTCGACAGTTTATATTTCTTTTGTTTATTCCTATTCTTAAAATAACTGCTTTTTTAGAAACAAACCACCTAAAATATACGTGATTGATGAATTGGCGGAACAACATGGGCACAAAGTTCTTCGTCTGCCTCCTTACCATTGTATATTTAACCCTATTGAGTTAATTTGGGGCATAGCAAAAGGTTACTATAACAGACATATTGGTAGAGATGGTAACAGTGAAAAAGACTGTTTGGATATGTGGAACGAGGCTCTACAAACGGTTACCCCAGACATGTGGAAAAATAGTGTTCGACATACTGAGCAAGAAATTTTTAAATGGTATGAAAGAGAACGAATTTTTGATCGACCAGACATCGAACCTTTAATAATCAACTTTGAGAGTGATGAAGATTCAGATTCAGACAGCGCTGAAGAAAGAAACTCCGACTAACTTTATTGTACAGAAAAAGCTTACACCAGTAGCTTACCTAATTTTAGAATGCATTTTTCTGTATGAATTCTGTAAAATAAATACCATGCATAAAATATGGAGGACCCCATTTGGATTTTTATTCAGTACCTTTAAGCTATCAATTAAATATGGTAGTTTCATAGTGTCATCTGATCAATAATTGTCATACTTAATGATTATGCAAGTACAGATCTATAATTTTATTATACTATTATTTTTGTTCTCATTTGAGGTTAATATTGCTTATAAACCTAGATATGTAAATAATAAATTTTATTATTTTACAAAAAGTTTGGCAACAATGTAAATTTTTCAACACACCCACCTTGATGACGTGCGCGCCACTTTGTTTGGCGTTGACTATATTTATACTCACCGCCGATATAAAAAAAAATTACCATGCTAGTGTGATCGACATGGTTTTTGGAGATTTTTAAGAAACTATTTCTGCGTCTCAAATTACTTAATGGCCGTATCGTGGTACTGTTGCGCCTTGTAGAACTTCGGATTTCACTGTTTTTTCACTTAGAACTTATAGAGTGTAATCTGATAGATTATTTTAAAACAAAAAAAGTGTGAATGAAGCACGCTTTTATCATTTTTTTTCCCAAAACAGCATCTTTAGTAGCTATTTCCCCTATTATTTTCACCGGCATCTGCCATATGTGATGTCTGTGCATATGTCATATGAGAGGTGCTTGCCTGCGATGTTGCCGGATTGGGCTTCGCATTTAGGAAAAAATATGAAAACTGAAAAAATTTATATACATATATTAATGACACAAAATAAAGAAAAAGAACCAAAAAAAAAATAAAACAACACAGCAGTAAATTAAAAAAGTATTAAGGAAATAATTATAGAAAAAGAAATAGTGCATTATGGGGTGGTAGTGAAATATATTTTTGAACACATACATAGGTAGGTATGAGAAGTGATCATTCACCACCTCACAGTTCCTGCTTCAAAGCTGGGTATCAAGGATCAAGGTACAGGCTTGCCACCCTTTCTCGTTCTTATATTCTTAAGCACTTGAGTGCTGATGGTTCCCCACCAATACGACTACTACTACTTCATAATGCACAATTTTTTTCCCATAATTATTAGGAACCCCTTTTTCATTTATCACTGAGTTATTTTTGTTTTTTGTTCCTTTTTCGTTATTTTATTTCATTAATATATACAGGGTGACTTTGAAGTTGAGTCATTAATTTTCAGATAATGATTGTAGAAGGAAGATAAACCAAAATATGTGTGTAAAAATAAAAAAAAATTAAAAAAAAATTTTTACCTTGTTTTATAAAGTATCCTCCCGACAAGTATTTCAGTGCGGACCTGTATTTGATCGTGAGGTCCCCTGTGAGGTCTTAAGTCACCTGATTCACGAGCCCGTTGTACTACATTAACAAAGGCACGAGGGGTTGGTTGCACTCGATTGGGAAACCGATCCGCATAAACATGTGCCATTTTTTATTTCGTTTGAGCCACGCAACAGACACTATTCACACGCTAACCGACAGACACTGACTGTATGTATAACTGAACTGAATAAAATACTTAATTGCAAAAACATCGTTCCAAATTCTTTCGCTTTTTTGTTTCCGATGCGATGAACCGGTAAGGCGGATTATATCCGTTGTTGTCAAACACGAGTACATGATATTATTATTGAGACAGGGCGGTACTCAAACTTCCAAAGGGCTATAACTTTGTTACTTCAAATTTACCAGAAAAATGGTAAAGGAAAAAAGCATTTCTTTTGATCAGATCTACTCACTGTTAAAATAAATGACTCAACTTCGAAGTCACCCTGTATATATATATATATATATATATAGATTTTCCACTTTTCATATTTTTCTCTAAATGCTGAGCCAATCCGGCAACACCGCAGGCAAGCGCCTCTCTTATGACATATGCACAGATGTCATAGGGCAGGTTGAAATAATGGTGGAAATAGCTGCTAAAAATACAGTTTTTTGGGAAAAAATTCTCATGAAAAGCGTCCTTCATCCACACTTTTTTGTTTTAAAATAATCTATCAGACTACCCTATATAAGTTTCAAGTGAAAAAACAGTGAAATCAGAAGTTCTACAAGACGCAACAGTACCCCGTATCGTTAGTCGTCCCTACAATAATTCCAGGACGCCTTTGTAGCCTCCTTGATTTTCATAGTTTTCTACTGTCTACGTGTCAGCGCTCTATTTTGAGGTTATGTCACGAATATCTATTTGCATCGAATTGTGCATGCTTTTGGTTTGTATTATCTGTCACATTATCCTGAAATTTCTTACAAATCAAAAAGAAAACGTAGCCTCACATGAGAGAGCGCTGATGCTGACGCGGCACAGTAAAAATCTAGAAATAGCCCAGCCTATCTGAAGGGAGAAAAGGAGTCCATAAAGGCGTCCTACAATAAATTGTACGAACGACTGTCGATATGGCCCTAAGTGTAGAGTTTCGTTCACTTGTAACAAATGAAGATTAAAATGCTGATTTTACATTAAAAAAAATAACTTCTAAAAATAATTATTGCGTCTGCATGCACTAAATGAAAGAGCTGTTAGCAAGTACAAAATGAATCTGTAGCGTACAAAAAACCAAAACAAAATACGGCTCTGACGTTGACGGATCCGTCAGAATTATGTGTCCTGTGCCGATATGGGGAATTTTGAGATATTACCAGATAATTAGATGTCATTGATACTCATGAAATAGGGTATAGATGGCACCTGTCGCGGCAAAACTTGACAGCTGTTGTCACCAAAAATTACAATACCTTTGATAACAAGTAATTATGGTCTCCTAGTACACCAGAAAATGTCGCTAAACAATTTTTCTGATTTTATTGTCAATAAATTTTGTAAGCTACGTATGCAGAATAATATGTTGCTCATGAAATAGTCTTGTCAAATACCGTAAAAAAAATCGAAAAAACAATGCAAAGTAATATTTTTTTAACAAAAAACATTCGTGCAGGTGCAAAAATCCTCGGACCCTTGTTGCCACCAGCACTCATGCTTCTTGTTAAGATATTACTTAGCAAAGTGATTTATCGATTTTTTTCAGAAAAATTAGATGTCTTTATGATATTACTTATGATAAATTATGGTATTTAGATCACAAGTCAGATGACTATTTTTTGCTCAGTTCAGCTGGAGGTGCAAAAAACTTATTTTTCTACTGCGTATTGAGAAACTTTAAAAACTTAGGAACAATTATAAAAGTTCGTCTACAATATCCCAAAAACCCGTTTATTGGCCAAATCATATACAAAGATCATGAATTGGTTCTGTTTTTAGCAATTGGGACATACTCGACGTTAATGCACTTAGACTTATACTGTCTATTTCTGACTGCTGTTTATACTGAAGGTATTAATCAGTCTTAAATCATACTATTAATCAGATATATGATTCATTAGTAACTATATAAGATTCGGTTCACATACAAGAGCAGATACAACACTCTCCAAGTAAATTACATAATACATAGAGCGTCTGAATATGAAAGCAGGGTGACATAATCAGATTCTTAATGGAGAGACGCGATCAGAATATATTATTGATGTAGCAGGATGGTGATACGATCATAAATATAAAAATAGCACCGAAAATCCCATCTTTCAAACGTCCATGTACAAACGTGGAAAATTGAAGAATCACGTGACTATAGTTATCGATGCAATGCCACCTTGCTATCTCGCAAACTCTAGATTTGCCATCTCCATATTCAAGATAGCCAACGATATTTTTCATTCATTTCGGCGTCGAAAAAGGTATCTAAAAGATCCTAGCGCCATCTAGGATATAGTAACAAATACAAAATCAATTTAGAAATCTAATTTGCAAAGAGTTAAGAACGTTTGGTTCAGCTGATGTTCCATAGATGGCGTTAGGATCTCTCATATCCCCTTTTGGGCGCCATATAACAGTATAAGTAATGTCAGAACTGCGATCAGAGTTTCAAAATTTGCTTTCTTCTTTTTTGGTACTACAGAAATGTAGACCAAAAAACCAACTTTGTTAAAACGATTAACTTACCTGACTTAGTACTAAGGTAACATCGTTATTTCTTATTCTAGAAATCATCATGGAAGCTACTGCTAGGATGAAATCACCCGCCATCGTAACCTGTAATCAGACAAAAAAGAAAAACGTTAGTCCAAACTCATAGTGATGACTTTGCAATCATTGGCTTTCGCAACAATTATTCCTAATTCGAATATAATCGAATCTCTACGAATAAATGTCAAGGCAGTATAAACGTAGTATTTATCACCTGTTGATATATTGCTTGCACTAAGAATCATCGGCATGGGTATCATGTAAAAACCCTATAAAACGTAAAAAAAAAAACCTATAAGATGTCATCTTGCAAACTAGGTAGTTTTTAGGGCGCAAACAGACTTTCCACGTTTGCTCACTAGGATCGTTGTCAACGTCCATCTAAGGAGGAATCACTCAACTAAACTACACGCATTATTGGTTGCATATGTTTTGTGGTCTGTAGTTTTTATCTCTGAGAAGAAAGCATCTGGATGATTATGTGTATTGGTCTGCTTGTGTATAAAATCAGTGATATTTGAGAAAGTCATTCCTGAATATGCTGCCAATGAAGTATATTTGTTGGCTGGCCCGACGGGTTATTTTTATGTTATGCTTTCTGATGAGAGGTTATGTTCAAAGTTATCAATTACAAAAAACTGAGGAGAATTACGGGAAATCATCACCGCGCCCGCGTTGTGTGTAATTACTTTTAGCATGTATATGGCCTGTAATTCGACAGTTTACACTGAATATAATTATTTCTTATCTCTCTCATTTTTGAAATTCAGCAAATTTGTAAGTATATGTAATTTCCAGAACGGATAAGAAAAAGTGGATGGGCAACTAATTTCTAGCTTTGAATCTCAATTAAGTGTATTTGAGACAAGAACCCAATGTAATTATCATTAACACGTACAACTTACAGCTTTATGGCCTTCTTGACTGTCATACTCTTTTCTCTTCTTCAAAAATTTCTAGATTACACTCGTCCCGTGTCAGCGTCAGCGTTCTCCTATTGTTAAGATATGTTTTCCTTTTAAATTGTAGGAAATTTCAGGCTGATAAAACATGATAAAACACAAAAGCAAGCACAATTTGATGCAAATAGATGTTTGTGACATAACCTCAAAATAGAGCGCTGACACGGAGAAGTAGAAAACACCTCATGACGCTTAGGCAACACGTACAACTAAGTGCTAAGTTAATATCTTGTAGAAAAGCCTACATAATGTCAAAAAAACCAGCATAATGTCAAAAAAAAGATACGTGATACCTGTGCTGGACATCGCAAATCATACAAACAAAATTTGGATATGTTCCTGAATTTTATCTTTTTTAAACATAGCTTCACCGCCACCAGTTCAATTTCCAAGAGTTTTTCGTCATCGGATAAGCGGAAACCTTGCGTTAAAATTTCAGATTTTATCATGATCCCAGTGGTACTTTCCGAGTGTATGATTCCCAGATAGACAGACGATAGACAAACAGACCGACAGACCTAGATAACTGGCAACTATGTCAAATAAACCGACTAATTGGTCAAATAAGCAATTTGAGGTTAGAAAAAATTGGATTTCAAGCAAATATTTCCCCTTTGCTACAGAAATTAGTCGTGTAATATTCCGCGTAGAGCCCCAAAAGTGAAATAGCTATGCGTCTTGGGAATAATTTCTGTTTTGATAAAGCGGAGAGCACCTGCAAAAAGTGTGATTTATAACTTGATGAAAACCGAAGTTTTTCTCAAAACATGTAAGTTATCACAGCTATTTAACTCCTGCACGAAACATTATACGATTTATTTTTGTAATAAAAGAAAAATGCCTGCTTGATATTAAATTTTTTCTAACCTCATTTGCTGCTGCTGCTTTTTTGAATAATCGTCGGTGTATATACCATATTTCACGAGTATGCACCACGGTAGAATGACAGTTAATTATCTAGTAATATCTCAAAATTCCCCATATCGGCATAGGACACACAATTCTGACGGATCCGTCAATGTCAGGTTGACAGAGCCATATTTTGTTTTGTTTCTTTGTACGTCACAGATTCATTTTGTACTTGCCAAAAGTTCTTTTACTTAGAAACAGGGTATATTTGAAATGGATGCCTAACCTTAAAGGGATTCTACATGCTATAGCGCTTTAGTCTCATTATTTTACATATCTTTATTCACGTACTTTGGGTAAATGAATACCGTTATTTTTAACAAAGATAGCAGTGCAATGCCAGTAACAACTTTGCAGTCATACTATCAGAAATCGAAAAAAGGCAAATTGGCGGTTTTTCCGATTTTGATTTCCATACAGTAGCACCTCTATTTGGCATGCAAGACGTCGATAGAGTCACTTGTGACGCAAATAATCGCCGGCAATATCGAAAAGAAATACCAACGTGTACATACGAAAAGAATTGTTAATCAATCTGTGAATTCCTGTGTATATGCGTCTCTTATATTATTCAAATCTGATGATGGAACACCATGAGCGGAATTTACTTTACATTTTATTTAATGGAATACTTTTGATAGTGAGATATACGAGGGACTCGAAAATAAATCCACTAAGCCATGAAAAAACAATTGAAACGCAAAAGCATAATGTCACATAGTGTAATGAGGTATAACCTCACTTTTAAAATTTCAGTTAATTTTGATAATCAGTTTCCAGTTTATAAAATTTTTGCACTTAAATATTTTAGAACATATGTACTTTAAATATTTTTCTTTTTATTTTAGTACTTCATCGTTCTTCAAAAGCACAAAGTTCGCAATTTTTGCGTCATTGTCCAAATTCACTCATATTAGAATATTTAACATAGTATTTTTATATGAGCGAATGCTCGCAGCACTTTCTACTTCAAATCTGTAATACAGTTTACTCAGACACAAAACATATAAAAAAATAAAAGTGTTGCTGCATCGTGCTTCCATTAAATCAAAAGTTGGAGACTAATTATAACTGTGTATTGATTTGCTTCAACTTTTATTTTTAATTCTGACTTTAATTTTTATATATAGTCTGTGTCTTATAAAGATAGTAAGTTAAATATCAGCGTATGGACGAATTTTTGGGAAAAATGCGAAAATTAAAGAAAAAGAAGTGTTTTGAAAAATTTTTAAATACAAAAATTTCATAGATGCAAAATGCGATCGCCTTAAAATTTGATTTATCCTCAGTCTCGAAAACCCTGCTTATAGACCTTGACCACTTCATCTATCGAGTCAGCAGCATACGTACTTATCTATAATTTCTTGAACCAATATTTTATCCTTCGATCACCGCGGATAATTTCTCTTATAAACATACATTATACATAGGCTAAATACCAGTTTTTGCGAAATACCGCCATTCAGATGTATCGTCATTTATAAGAGGGAAAATAGTGTGTCAAGGTGTAAGCTCGTCGTCTACGCCTCAACATTACTGAGCTATTATCTTTAATCCATCTACATATCTGTTTGCCGTTAAAGAATCGTGAGGATGCCTCTAGCTATTCATAACACACTTTGGTATACAGAAATTCCTTGATCGGTACGAGATTTTGTGAATCGTGTAACTTTCGAATCGAAATTACCGGGTCTCACAGTAGTCTATCAATGCGAAAACTTAAAAAACTCAGTACTGAAAATCAACAAAAAATATTACCTATTTTAAAGTTGGACAATAAGTTGGATATTGAATTGAAATTGAAAAAATAATTTAATTATAATATAGAGATGGCACTCACGGTAGGAACTAATACATATTTATGTTTTACGAATATCAACACCTAATCGCAATTCACCAGCAGTTTAACCCTTTAGTTTAACTATTACAGTACAGATGGCGCTCATCGTACGCTTACTACATCAACTGCATAATTTAGATTCAAATAGAAATTTAAAAATAACTTAATTATAATATACTCGTAGATGGCACTCACATATTTATGTTTTAAGAGTAACAATCCTAATCGCAATTCACCAATAGTTGGAACTACCTTTAGTTTTACTATTACAGTACAGATGGCGCTCATAGTACGCAAATACATCAAATGAGTGCCGACACTTATTTATGCTCACCGTACTACTACCATACATTGTCGATATAAAAAAAAAACTGGCCATGCTAGTGTGATCGACATGGTTTTTGGAGATTTTTAAGAAACGATTTCTTTAGTGATGTTAATCAGCGTCTCAAATTACTTAATGGCCGTGCCTACAATAATTCCAGGACGTCTTTATGGCCTCCTTGATTTTCATAGTTTTCCACTGCTCCGTGTCAGCGTGCTATTTTGAGGTTATGTCACAAATATCTATTTGCATCAAATTGTTCATGCTTTTGATTCATACCAGCCTGAAACTTCACAATATGAGAGCGCTGACGCTGACACGGAACAGGTGGAATCTAGGAATACCCCAGACTTTCTGAAGGAGAAAAAATACTATGACAATCAAGAAGGCCATACAGGCGTCCTACATTTGTAGAACGACTGACGGTATGGCCCTTAATGACAACATTGGGAAGTTTCTGTATCATCCGTCGGGTTGTGTGTTGAAAATATTTGGGCATCTGAATATGGATCATGGTAAAGAGAGTACGAAGCTTCATTGATGTCATCATTGTTGTACACCATGAATCGAACTGATTGCTATTTCTAGCTTCACTTGTTTAGAGTAGTTTTTGATAAGGTTTAGCCCTTTGTATTATTTGGAATAAGTAATGTGTGTGAACCTTGATGCTGATGCTTGATGCCAAATGCAATCTAGTGTTAATTTTTGCTAACGTATTTCACGAGTATCCATCACGCTTTGACGTCTACTGACGTGAACAATTACAGCTTCATTCGTTTTACACACAATCTCACTTCAGCTTGTGATGTTTATTACTTGTCATTTTTACCAAACCTCAGTTCAACTAACCTCAACTGAGTGAGATTTGGGCTTGCAAGCAACGTTTAGGTTAACTTGATTTTGTTTACGCCCAAAATCCACTTCAAATTCTGAGATTTTTAACTTTGATTACAATTATATTTTTGCCGTGGTCAGCAAACTGCAAAAATGTCGAGTCCACGATAAATTAGATAAAATTTAATTTTTAAGGTTATGTTCGAATTTAGAAATAAATTGTCAGAAAAAGTGACGAATTTCTTTGGGTAAGAGGTACGAAATTACTTTTTACTATTAAAGATACAAAAACGAAATTTGAGGGTTGCGTGTTATAGATGAATTCACATTTTTTGACATATTCACTTGCTTAGACGTACTTGCGGTTTGACCGGAAACGACTCAACCTTCGATGTTTAAATCGGACAGCCTATATATTTTTACTTATTTCGATCTAGAATGACATTCTGAACTTAACAACGCCTCACTTGTCAATATTTGACAAAGTCATTTTTCTTACAATTTTTATTTTTCGATCTAGAATGCCATGGATCCTGATACGCTTCATTTTTTATCAAGTATTACTGGAAAAATACGATTTTAATGATTTTGATGTTTTCAAATAAAAAAGGGGTGGCTCGTCGGCTTTTTCCGCTTTCTTACGAATAAATAATTTGACATTACACAGTCTTATTTTATTGACGTTGGCGATAAAGTTATTGGCATTTTCTAATGGTTCATTTCTGTTCCAGTTTCAAAAAATAATGAAAAGTGGGTTGGCAGCGATTGGGGAATCACTGAGAAAAAATTCGAGCTGCCTCAGTTGCATTTTCTCGTCAAATGCCAAAACATAACCTAAGAACCTAACCAATAAAAAGACGACAGTATACTCACATATTGACTGTTTCTTTTAAAATATTAATTCCTAAACTAAAACCAACGCGCCAACCCAAACTGTAAGTATTATAATTTTAATCTCACAAAACGCGAACGCGTCAAATAACGAAGGTTGGTAGACAAAATAACTAAAAGTAACTAGAATTACCGAAAAAATTGACGGAAAATTAGAACAAGCTCTAATCTGGCAATTTATTTATAAATTTATTGATGTGAAGAAAGCGACAGCAATTTTTATTTTTACACGGTCCAACTTCTTCAAGAAAAAAAAATTATTGGAACGTGTAAAGCGGCTATTGATTTGAATTTGTCCCTGAACTGACCTTGAAACGGTCTTCACAGATGCTCTCATGGTGACAAACTAACATCACATTTGAAGTCATCGACCTAAAAAAGCCCTGTTGTACTAAAAATCATATAAATTGTATTTTTTGTCAGTTCTAGGTGTTCTAGAGTCTAGACCACTGTGGGTCTGCATAAAAATTATAGTAGACTATTCTGGATTTTGGTATGAGAATAGACTAATTCTACTGCTCTTATAATACAGGGTGTCCGCAAAGTTGGGGTTTCCTTTTCAGAAACAACTACCCTTGAAATAACAAAGGTAATGTGTAGTGAAACGAGGGCGACCAAGTAAAAAAAAATAAAGGAAAAAGTACTCACTCTCCAGTTGACAAGAAGGGCTAAGTACGTCACTGCCCGAAATCATACCGCTCCAACAGAAAATGAAATCAGCTGATGAGCTACCGGCGGTGGTGCAGACCACGAACAGAGGTAACAAATATGACCATCGTGCAGAAACCACATTGATTGTCTTACACTTAATGGCACATCTTCTAACAAGGAAGGCAAAATGTTGCGTAAAAAGTCTAGGTATTGCATCCCGTCCAATCGATTTGGGAGAATAAATGGTCCAATGAGCATACCGTTCACCAGGCCAGCCCAAACATTCACCGAAAATGTTTGTTGAAATGTGCCGACGGACAGCGTGCGGATTTTCTACTAACCAAACATGAGTGTTGCGAAAGTTATTCAACCCATTACGCGTGAACGTAGATTCGTCCTGTCACCAATATGCACTTCAAAAAGTCCGGATTCTTGTCATGTTGATGCAACAACCACTCACAAAACCGCACTCTTGCTGGAAAATCGTCAGGTTGAAGGGCTTGTACACTTTGGACGTGAAACGGATACAACCCCTCTTCACGCAGCGTTTGCCACACTTTAGTTTTTGATACTTGCACTTCTCTAGACACGTCTCTAGTGCTTGTTGTTTTTGAAACGCAATCGATTATACGGGTTCGTTTACCTCTACAGGCGTGACCGTAACCGTCGGTTGAAGGTTGCATACTGACCTGACACACTGACCCCGACCCAGTTCTGTCGTCGGGTTGAGCTAGTGTCCTAGTACCAGTCGGGGATGTCGCGAGTCGCGGCTACAGGACGGTATTCAGATATTTTGATGTTGCAGAGCCCTTTATCTCGGTTCCTTAAGACATTGGTGTATATGGTACTAAGAAAAATTGCTTATGTTTTCAAGATCTACACGTCGTGTAAAGGAAAACCCCAACTTTGCGGACACCCTGTATATTGTAACCATTCTCTAGCTACTGTATCCCATATTGTCAGTTTGCCATGCTACTAAGTGTTTTAAAACAAACCTTTTTATGGTTCCACTTGACGTTGGACACTGGGTTTTCCTCTCCTGAAGTCTGACTGGTCTATGACGTCATCGTGCACCAGCGACGCGGTGTGGATCATTTCCGAAATCATCGCCACCTCTCTTTGGGATTTCATAAGACCACTGAAACAGACATTTCATACAAAATAATGGAAAAAATACGGCGTCAAGTAGGTGAACTCTGCACCTTCCGCAAAACGCTGCCATCAGTTCATAAAGGAGTATGTTCGGTACAAGTTTAGCCCCTCTAAGAAAAAAGCTGCTACAAAAAAAGTAGTGTCGAGTAGGTTGAACTCTGTATTTCTCACGAGTCAACTTTTGTACGCTCTGGTATCTTGATTGTTTGAGGGCTATGATCCTTGTACCTTGGTATAAGGCCGTAGGGTAGGATAAATATAGTGAGAAGAATGGCGTCAAGTAGGTTGCCTCTGTACTTCTCACGCAACGCTTTCATCAGTTCACAAAGCATTATGTTCAGTATATGTTAGCCCCTCTAAGAAAAAAGGCTGCTAACAAAAAAAGTGTCAAGTAGGTTTGACTCGGTATTTCTCATCAGCCAACTTTTGTATGCTCTGGTATCTTATTGTTTGATCCTTGAACCCTGGCATAAGGGCGTAGAGTAGGATGAATATTAGTGAAAAAAATGGCGTTAAGTGGGTTGACTCTGTATTTCTAAAGGATCAACTTTTGTACGCTCTGGTATCTTGATTGTTTGAGGGCTATGATCCTTGTACCTTGGTATAAGGCCGTCGGGTAGGATGAATATTAGTGAGAAGAATGGCGTCAAGTAGGTTCGCCTCTGTACTTCTCACGCAACGCTTTCATCAGTTAATAAAGGATTATGTTCAATATAACGTTAGCCCCTCTAAGAAAAAAGGTTGCTAAACAAAAAAGTGTCCAGTAGGTTGACTCGGTATTTCTCATGAGTCAACTTTTGTATGCTCTGGTATCTTGATTGTTTGAGGGCTATGATCCTTGTACCCTGGTATAAGGCCGTATGGTAGGATGAATATTAGTGAGGAAGAATGGCGTCAAGTAGGTTGCTTCTGTATTTCTCACGCAACGCTTTCATCAGTTCATAAAGGATTATGTTCAGTACACTGTTAGCCCCTCTAAGAAAAAAGGCTGCTAACAAAAAAAGTGTCAAGTAGGTTGACTCGGTATTTCCCATGAGTCAACTTTTGAATGCTCTGGTATCTTTATTGTTTGATCCTTATACCCGGGCATAAGCGCGTACAGTAGGATGAATATTATTGAGAAAAATGGCGTCAAGTAGGTTGACTCTGTATTTCTAAAGGATCCACTTTTGTACGCTCTGGTATCTTGATTGTTTGAGGGCTATGATCCTTGTACCTTGGTATAAGGCCGTAGGGTAGGATGATATTAGCGAAAAAAATGGCGTCAAGTAGGTTGACTATGTACTTCTCACGCAACGCTTTCATCAGTTCATAAAGGATTATGTTCAGTACAACGTTAACCCCTCCAAGAAAAAAGGCTGCTAACAAAAAAAGTGTCAAGTAGGTTGACTCGGTATTTCTCATGAGCCAACTTTTGTATGCTCTGGTATCTTTATTGTTTGATCCTTGAACCCTGGCATAAGGGCGTAGAGTAGGATGAATATTTGAGAGAAAAATGGCGTCAAGTAGGTTGACTCTGTATTTCTAAAGGATCAACTTTTGTACGCTCTGGTATCTTGTTTGTTTGAGGGCTATGATCCTTGTATAAGGCTACGGCCGGGTAGGATGAATATTAGTGAGAAGAATGGCGTCAAGTAGGTTGCCTCTGTACTTCTCACGCAACGCTTTCATCAGTTCATAAAGGATTATGTTCAGTATAACGTTAGCCCCTCTAAGAAAAAAGGCTGCTAACAAAAAAAGTGTCAAGTAGGTTGACTCGGTATTTCTCATGAGTCAACTTTTGTATGCTCTGGTATCGTTATTGTTTGATCCTTGTACCCTGGCATAAGAGCGTAGAGTAGGATGAATATTAGTGAGAAACATGGCGTCAAGTAGGTTGACTCTGTATTTCTAAAGGATCAACTTTTGTACGCTCTGGTATCTTGTTTGTTTGAGGGCTATGATCCTTGTGCCCTGGCATAAGGCCGTAGGGTAGGATGAATATTAGCGAAAAAAATGGCGTCAAGTAGGTTGACTATGTACTTCTCCCGCAACGCTTTCATCAGTTCATAAAGGATTATGTTCAGTACAACGTTAGCCCCTCCAAAAAAAAAGGCTGCTAACAAAAAAAGTGTCAAGTAGGTTGACTCGGTATTTCTCATGAGACTTTTGTTACCTTTATTGTTTGATCCTTGTACCCTGGCATAAGGGCGTAGAGTAGGATGAATATTAGTGAGAAAAATGGCCTTGAGTAGGTTGACTCTGTATTTCTAAAGGATCAACTGGTTAAGACTAAAAGATGTTAATGTTCTTACATGGCCTTCGCAATCCCCGGACCTAAACCCTATTGAACATCTCCGGGAGCACGCTAAAAGACAACTGACAAGAAAAACTTTGAAAAATAGGAATGATTTATTTGATTATGTTACAAATATTTGGTAAAATATCCCAACAGACGTCTGTAAAAAAAATGGTGTCTTCTATGAGCAGCAGATGTCAGGCAATGTTGAATGCTAAGGCTATGCTAACAGTATTTTTGTAATTTTTGTTTTTGTATTTAATTTTGTAATAAAAAATACGTTTCCATACTTTTGTCGTCTTATTTTTGGTCATAAAATAATATGAAGGTATTTTAATGCTAGTCTGTAGTATCACAGCAAACACAAATTGTAATTTGTATCCTCAAGACTGTAAGCAAACTATATGAAAAAAATAGTCCTTAATAATAAAGAATAAGAAATTAGCGCACTTTTTAAAAATTACTAAGAATGTTTCCAAACTTTTGTCCGCTACTGTAGCCAGATTTTAGTTTTCTCCAAATATCTAATTTTTACAAGTTTCCCAACGGCATGTAAACACGCCCCAAAGAACGAAAACTTTTCATAATTTAAATTGAGCTGTATTGACAGCCCCATGCATAAGATCTTTATCATATATGAATCTGATTGGAACAAGTTTGTATGTAATAGACATAAGAGATGTTATGAGCTGTTATCGAAATGTTTAACCGAAATTCAAAAATTCCCGCGAACCACAATTCTTCCGTTGATTACGCGCAGGAAGTGCTGACAAATATTTAAAAATTTGATAATCCCAAAAAATTATTCCTAATAGCGTTATTTTATGCAAAATAGATCGCCATTTAGGTTTGACTAATCCGCTATAAGATTTTTACATCGTGGCTAGATTACGAATATGTGAATGTAGACTTGTAGGAAAAAGATTTGAAATTCGTGAATACGAAATATGAACATTCAAGGCCTTTAAAATTAACGTAACAGAAAATTCGAATGTGTTGCCTAAACCGTTAAAATAATATTAATTTAGTATTCGGGTATCCTCGAATTAACAGTTGGTACATTGCCGCAGGTGTGCGCTGCGATTTAGGCAACGATAAGCCTGCAAAATCGCAGTTACTTCCTTGCTTTGTGTTTAATTACTACCCATTAGACTTATATGGTTCATAATTCTTTCATAAATGTATTATCTTCGCTTGATAATTAGAATAGATTTCTTTTCAAAAATGTATACAACGTCCGGGTTATAGTCAGTAAATTGAAAAAATGGCACCCAGTGGATTTACCCCTTATTTTACACAATTTTAAAATATAAGCGAAATCCCCAATTCAACGTTTTTTGATGTTGTATAACAAGTGCATTGAGACAAGTCAAGTCACTCAATTTTGTGAGATTCTCTGGTGAAATTTTGACATACACTAGCGGACAAAAGTTTGGAAACATTATTGGTAATTTTTAAAAAGTGCGCTAATTTTTTATTCTTCATTATTAAGGACTTTTTTTCTTATGTAGTTTGCTTACAGTATTGAGGATACAAATGACAACTTGTGTTTGCTGTGGTAATACAGACAAGCATTAAAATACCTTCGTCCAAAAATGAGACGTCAAAAGTTTGGAAACATATTTTTTATTACAAAATTCAATAAACAACTCTGCAAAAAGATTAAAAAAGCTAATATATGGTAGCATAGATTTTAGCACTCAACACTGCTTGACATCTGCTGCCCTTAGAAGACACCATTTTTTTTCAGACGTCTGTTGGGATACTTTGAAAAATATTTTTACATAATCAAATAAATCGTTCATATTTTTTAAAGTTTTTCTTGTCAGTTGTCTTTTAACATGTTCCCAGAGATGTTCTATAGGGTTTAGGTCCGGGGATTGCGAAGGCCATGTAAGAACATTAACATTTTTTAGTCTTAACCAGTCCTTTATTTGTGTTGAGTTGTGCTTGGGCTCATTATCTTGCGGGAATGTCCATCGTAAAGGCAATTTTTCTTCAGCAAATGGGAGCATGTGTTATTAAGAATATCTCTGTAAAGTTTTTGATCCATTTTCCCAACAATTTTTACAATTGGATCCGTTCTAGAACTAGAAAAAACAGCCCCAAACCTGTTGATGTTGCCTCCACCGTGCTTAACTGTTGGCAACTTATACTTTTTGTCGAATCTTTTTCGTATTGGACGCCTGACCATGGGCGCCCATTTGGGGGGCCGAGGGGGGCATATGTTGATCCGTATTCTTGATATTTACTAATAATTTTCGAAATCGTCCCTTTGCTCATTTTTAATCTTTGAGGAATGTCAATATTTCTGACACCACGTCTAAATAATTGAATTACTTTGCCTCTTAAATATTTTGAAAATCTTTTATTTTTTACATGATGTTAATACGAGTATTTACCGCACGCAACATAAGAGTATCGTGTATGAAATGTTTCCATACTTTTTGTCGTTACAAAAATTTAAAAAAACGCGCGTTTTTATTTTCAGAATAATGATAAGATACACCTTGTATCAGTACAGAAGCCAAAGGTAGATTTTAATATTTATAATAATAATTAATGATATTTATTCACTCAATGTACAAAGATAACAAAAATATGAGTAAATAAATATAAAATCAAACAGGCCCAATAGAAGGCATCGCCTGTACATGGACCAATAAATTTAAGTTGAAACTGTAGAATGCAAATGACAAAAAAACGACAAAAATTAGCTACAGTAGATTATGTATTTAGTTGATGTTCGTATTTATGAGTTTATGAATTTCAGTCCTAGATATAGAATGTAGCCACTTTTTTAAATTTCTTTTGAAACAATTCCGAAACGTAAATCTTTTAAGTTTAGGTATAATTTCGTAAAATTTAGGCGCTAAATAGAGATATGATCGCTGCATTATAGATTTATGCGGTTGAGGAACTACTGTGCCACGAATTTTGTACCTGGTATAATGATTATGTTTAATTTTTTGGTCGGTGTTTACAAATTTATGGTAGTGAGTGATACTGTGTAAGAAATAAAGCTGTCTTATATCATACATTCGAACATCTGCGTATAATTTTTCAGTGGGATAAAGTTTCGGTTTTTTAAATATCATTTTAGAATACTTTTTTGAAAAACATCTAAATCAGTGCATGGTATAATGTTCGAAGATATTTTTCTGTCAATATATTCCCAAGGTATTTAATTTTGTTTTTTTAAATATCATTTTTAGAATACTTTTTTGAAAAACATATAAATTATAGATATGTGAGGAACATGCAGCTTCCCATGCTAATATACCATATGTGAGATGAGGCTCAATCAGTGCATGGTATAATGTTCGAAGATATTTTTTTGTCAATATATTCCCAAGGTATTTAATTTTGTAGGATACAAATCTAACTAACTTTCTTTAAAATATAATTGACATGGATGTCCCATCGTAAGTGAGGATCCAAGACCACTCCAAGGTATTTTATGTTGGGCACTCTATTAATTTGCATTTTTTGATCATTAATATTGAAGGAGAAATTTGTGTAATTTGGCAGATGTCTAGCATAAGATCCAAATGGTAAAAAATGTGTTTTAGAGTAGTTAATGCTTAATTTTCTACTGTTAAACCACCGAATAATTTTGATAAAATCATTTTCAATTACATTTTTCAGATCAGACCAGTCAGTGCCTTCATATAATATTGCAGTATCATCTGCAAAACTAGTTATTTTGCCAACACAATTAATTTGGAAAATATCATTTAAATATATATTGAATAACAGCGGACCTAAGACAGTTCCTTGTGGGACACCACACTTAATATACATTTCTTTACTAAATGATCCTGATATCTGCACAGATTAATAAATGACTTTATTGAATAAAAAAAATAATCTTTTTACAAAGGTAATTTAGAAAAAAAATACAGATTGCAATGCACTACAATGAAGCGGCATAGTTAATTTTTTTAAATATCTTACATTTATATCATGAACAGAAAGCGTTCTCTTATAGAATCAGGTGAACCTGGAGTGTTTATAATTTTTAATAAAAAAACTAGAAAAATGGAGAGTGCGACGCTCATTTATTTTAAGCCGTTTAATTTCTTTATACAAATGAGATGTATGATCAAACCTACGCAGACCATAGATAAACCTGAGGTACGCATTTTGCACCTTCTGAATCCGACCCCTACTTGCCTGATCTAAGCAAAACCCATAGACAGAATCGCAATAATTGAAATTGGAAAGAATTAGGGATTCACACAATTTTTTTTTTAGTGATCTGTTATTATACAAAACTTTTACAGAACAAAATGATGTTTGCCTAAGATTTTTCAGGTGATCTTTAAATCTAAGCTGAGAATCTAAAACTATACCGAGATTTTTTGTACTTTCAACAAAATTCAATTTTGAATTATTAGCCACTATATTGAGATTAGCTTTCAAGAACTCAGTCTTAGATTTGTTACGAAAAATCATTACATGCGATTTTTCCGGATTAAGTTTTAAGTTGTGACCTAATGGGAGATTGTTCAAGGTGTTAATGTCCTCATTTATACAATTTTCGTAATATTTGTAATCCTCAATATCAAAAAAACAATGTGTGTGTCATCCGCGAAGGCCTGAACTTTACAAAACTTTAAAGACGTAAGGATATCAGATGTATAAATTAAAAATAACAACGGGCCCAATATTGATCCCTGAAGAACTCCCGATCGGATCTCCGCTTTGCCTGAGAATGTGTCATTCTTATAGAATCGATTGATACATTCGTGTCAAATATGATTTTAAAAGCAAACATGCTTCCTCATTAAAGCCATAGTACTGAAGTTTAGCTACCAACAATTCATGATTAATGGTATCAAAAGCTTTTGAAAAGTCTAGAAGTACCAAAACTGAACTCATCTTTTTATCATTTGCTCTTAATATGTCATCGAGTACGTTTGTTAGAGCCACTGTTGTACCAATTTTTTTACGAAAACCACACTGAGTACCAGGAATAATATTGTTACTCATACAAAAGTCATAAATTTGTTCGTACACCACTCTTTCAAATATCTTTGATTGATAAAGTATATTTATCACACGAAGTTCGTTAAAACTTGATGGATTAGTTATTTTTGGTAATGGTTTTCCTATGCAGATTTTCCACTTGTCGGCAAAGTAGCTTGTTTCAATGGAACAGTTTATAGTATGTGTTATATACTTATCTATGTACGGACTACAATATTTTAACATTAAGGCTTTTATCTGTTATTTCATAATTTTAATTTAGGTATATGAAATAATAGTTCATAACAATGTTAATGTTAAGCTTTTGTCCGATACTGTATACAACTCTACAAAATTGGGATCTACGTATTAGCGGACAAGAATTTGTTTAAACAAAAACAAAGGAACAAACGCTTTGGAGACTAATCATTTACGTCAAAAATAAAAATAACGAAAAATGTGAGTTTTAGAAAATCGGGATATTTTGAGAGATTTCGAAAGTACCCGTACATGAAAATGCTACTAAATATTATTTTTTAATATCAATCACAAAAGATGGACAGTTCCGAGATCCAATCGGTGTACTGATGATGCTTAAAATGATAGTATTCCATGGGAGTACAGAGTTGACCTAGTTGATATCATCTTTACCCTAATCCAATACAGTACAATTTTCATTTAGTAAAAATAAACTATGGAAACTTACCCATTTTCTTTGCATATATGATAATTGATAGCTCTGGCCATTAATATAGTGACCATTGGTCTAACTGCCTTCCCGTGTCCATCGAAATAATACGTCGCTATCTCGTACAGACTATCTTGATAGGTATTCCGTCGTAATGCCTGAAATCATACATCTTTCTAAAAGAAACCGCCTTTTATTTTCCATCGTGTTAAGCATTAAAAATGATGGCACGACTACACAAGGTCTACTTCGCAAATTAGTAGTTTCCGAGATGTTTAGAAATATCGGTCTTACTATTGTTAAACTGCTCCTTATCGATTTTACTATCAGCGAATCTCAGTTGGCCGTGACGCGATGACAGCGTGAGATACTCAGTAGTTTGCCGGATTTCCTCCATGGCCAACTGATATTATCTTGTGGGAAAAGCCTTATGCGTGATTTAAGCATAGGAAAAATCAATATTTCCAACTATCTAATTAGCTTTCTTCGGTCCATCTCCTCCCAAATTCTTTTCTACTTTTCTCTGCCTGGCGCTATATTTAGCCGTCAAGGTCCCGCGAGCTTGTTTATATCATGTAACTATCTTATTTGGGGTATTCCTCTACTTCGTTTATGTTCCCAGGTTCTCCAATTTATAACAATTTTATCCCGTCTGACGTCTTTTTGTCTTATATTGTGACCGGCGACGATATTTCCATTTGTTACAAAATTAACCATATTTTAAATACTTAATACAAGATTTAAAAAGTCTTGAATTCTATACCAAGTGACATATAAATCCGAACACCCAGTTTAAATGGTTTTATTTTAATAAAAGTCGGAGAATGTATTTATCTTACTGTAAATAACAAGTGAAAAAATTTTCAGCCTTATCAGTTGGACATTCCGGTTTTTATACTGTTTTTTTTTAATTCACTAACGCTCTAAAAATGAATATTTCAGCCGCAGTAAAGAATCAACGTTGGCGGATTTTGGTTCTTGACATCCTTTACGATCGGTTACGATGCCTAGAGTACGGAGACCTGTACGATTTCGTCAACTTAGTGAGTTTGATAGGGGCCGTATAGTGGCACTTCGGGAAGCTGGACTTTCTTTTCGGGCAATTGCAGTTAGAGTGCAAAGAAGTGTAGACACTGTGGTTAGGTGTTGTCAGGCATGGCTTCGAGAAGGCCGTACGCAAAGAGCAAGGGGCACTGGACGCCGCCGTAGAACAACAGACCGTGAAGATCGCCGCCTAAGATTATTGGCCTTAAGGGACCGTTTCTCCACTACCAGGTCCATTGCAAATGAATGGTTTGCAGAACACGGAAGACCTATTGGCATGCGAAGTGTTTACCGACG